GCGCACCAGGCGCACAGGGTCCAAATCTTTGCCACCAGGCGCCTACAGCTTTGGCTCTCGCATGGAAGAGATCATCAAGCCTGTGAACAGCTCCTTGAATGCGACGGGCATTGCAGCTCTCTCACGTTACTTGAACATCCCGTGTATATATAATATATACTATGTATGTATTGCTTACGGATCTCTAACGTCACGTTTCAATCCATGCAGTCAATATATATATATATATATGAGACATGTTGAAACATTACATCTCGTTGACGTTGCATTCCAGCCCGAAATGCGTTTCTTTCCCCCAGCATTGCACCCGCATCCTGTACATCAGAGTGTGTACGATTTCAAATTCATTCCTTTGGTATTGCACGTCTCTAGCGTGACATCCGAATCATATATATATATAGCATCATCATCTGTCACCTTCATGCTGCTAAACAAAATGAATCTCATGAGATGTCCCCACCCTTTTCTGGGGCTTCAGGATTGGATCGAGTTAGGTGGTTCAGCAATTACGTGGGCAGGGCTCTGTGGGAAGCAAAATGATGCACGTCAACTGAATCGATTGGTCTCACAAGACCCTGCAGGCGGCTTTAGCAGGGCCGTCGTGTTGTTTGGACAAGGACTTCTTCTCTTTCTGCGGCTGCGCAGGAGAAGTTGGAGACGGAGGCGCCGCCTTGGCCTGGCTGATCAGCGTTCTGGCACGCCTGCGCCAGCTTTCCGTCTCCTCCTCATGACTCTTGCACTGTGCCGCAGCCTCCTTCAGCATGCGGTCGTGCTGCTGCTAGAGCTCCGCCTTGTGCTGTTGGTGCAGACGGGTGCTTAAGGCTTTGTCCGCGGCGTGAGCCCCGAGCGCCTGCCTCTGCTCCTCCTGGTGCCCGTGCCCTCAGGGCCTCCAGATCCGCGGCATAAGCCCTGAGCGCCTGCTCCAGCTTCCGCTCCGCCTCCCGCACCCGCGCTTCCAACTTCTCCGCCTCGCCCTTCCTCAGTGCCTCCATCTCTTCCCGCATGCTGGCTGTGCGATGAATGAATGCCAGTTTGCGGTTCAGACTTTCGTTCTCCTCGCGGGCCAGGCGGAGATCCTCCTTGAGCTCCGCCCAGCGTCGGTCCTCGCGGCTTTTCATGGCCGGCCCTGACCGCATGCCTTTGCTGCCGCTGCTTTCTGCCTGCGGCTGCTCAGCGGCTTGCTGCTGCTGCTGCTGCTGATGCTGCTGCTGCTGCTGCTGCTGCTGCTGCTGCCGCTGCTGCTGCTGCTGCGAAACCTGCTGCGCCGCAGCCGCAGCCATGTGCGTTTGCAGCTGCTGCTGGGCTAACTCAGCCTGCTGCTGCTGCAGAGCCCAGGGCCGTTGAGCTCTAGCCTATTGCATTTACTGTGGAGTTGATGAGAACTGCATCTCGAAGGTTGTAGGATCGAGCTGATGGATTGTCTCTTTTTTCCTCTCCTTGCCTCGTTATACTGATGACCTGGCAGAGTATGCAAATACTTTCAGATTGTTATGTGCTCGCCAGAAAAAGAAACGTATAATTAAGAAGGCCCAACCGACTCATGAACATGCAGACGTTTGATTTTACTTCCGACGGAGTCAAGTTCCGATTCTTTGCCAAGGCTGACAAGCATAAATTAAGAGACTCTGGCTCCAGCGCACTCGCTTGAAGGTTTGGCGCCGCAGCGTCGGGCGCGCCATGCAACTCAGTTTCGCAGAGCAACAGGCCGACCAGCCTGGCATCCTTGATTTCCGTGGCGGTCTGCGGTCTTGAGGCAGCGGCTGCGCTTTCCATCCCAAAGCTGCGCTGACATGACAAAGTGGCGTGGCCTCTTGTGCGCTCTCACAGCGCTCTCACAGCAGGTGTTTGCTAGCATCCCCTGGCAAGCATGTGTGATACAGAGGATAATTTAGCTGGGTACCAGCCAAGCTTGCACTGGGCAGTGATACTTAGAAATATGAAAGCCACATATGGTATTCATACTTAACATGACACATTATCAATTCGCAGCATGCTAACTGCAAGTTTGCATTGTTTTGCACTCAACATGACAGTTGTGTTTGCGCGAACGACTTTTTGCGCCTTACTCACAATGCATTCCTTCATTCCCAGCTGAGCACAAGCCAGAGGTGGGCCACCACTCTGAGAAAGCAAAGCTAGAAGGGTCATCATAGTGCGTGTGTGTGATGCAAATAACTTGCACTGAAGCAGTCAAGCCTGGAGTAACAACAGGGCGAACAGGGCAGGAGGTAGTGCGACCCTGCTAAGGCCGAGTGCTCATGTCTCAGAGGCTGGCTGCTTGATGTCAGTATGTTTTGGAATCTGGGAAGTGTGGCGAGGTGCGAAGCTAAGTTGCAAAAAATCCATGCCGAATTATGAAGTAAGATGGCGTGTGTTGGCAGTTTGATTCAGCAAAGGTCAGAAATGTCACCCCGAACATGCAGCTTCAATGAAAAGGCCATTTGCAACAAGTATGGTCTTGATATGGCCCGCCTTTCCTCCTGTCGTTCTGGATCAGTTGTGCATTTTTAAGTCCGTGTGTCCAAGCGCTTGGCCTTTTGATGCCGCCAAGCGCAGGCCTCGCTTCATGAAGGAGGGTGCTCTCTTCAACCCAAGCGAGGAACTAAATGGCCCAGGCCCTGGAAGCTACAATGCTGACAGAGCCTACGCCCTGGGCAGCTGCAAGATCAGCATCTTGGCAAGAGGTGTGGGAAGGGGCGAGGATTTTCGGGACTGTTTAGAGGGACTCCTGCATGTTGGCCGGGTAGACAGACATGACAGACGATGGCCAAAGAGCACTTCTGAAGCAGGAGTCTGGCGACTCCAACAACAGGCTTTGATCTATGTGCTGCGAGTCACGAGAATGTGTTAGCTTCTTGCTAGACACGCCTCTTCCGCATGTTCAGCACGAGTCTGGCTGAATGAAACATCACGAGCTTTGAGCCACGTGCCTGATCAAGGAAGTTGTACTTGAACTTTATCGCAGTCCAGCATGATGCTTAGTCCACATGTTGGCAAAATGTTCGGTGGCAGAGGATGCGGCTCTTGGGAGGGTTTAGGGCACCAGCAGAATCCCCTCCAGCTTGATACAGTTGAGCCTGAGTAGAGTCATTTGAGAAGCACAGCTTGGACTTTGGTTTGTGAGACCGGGGGAATTCATGAGTCTCTGCTGATCACTCTGACACTGTGCAACCGGCAGTTGCGCGCAAGGCTGATGTGGAAGATATGTTTGAGACGTTTGGATGTTGTTCAGCTAGTCGCGTCGAATTTGCGTGTCAGTGTCCATGTTTGTGTGTGTGTGTGCGGGGGCTTTGGTTTCCGTAATGTCTGCAGGCCAACTTCATGGCACACATGGACAGGTTGCCCATGCCAAGACAGCTTGTTTGATCATCCATCACCTTTTGTTGCTACATCTGCATAATTACAAACTGCAGAGTTCAAAAGCATGCTTTCATTGAGGCAGGGGGGTTGCCAGCTTTCTACTGTGCAGATCAGCCCAGGCAAGGAGCGCGACCCGCCAAAATGGACCATAGGCCACAGGACGATGATGGAGTTTGCCAAGACTCATTGCTGATGCTGGCGACTGCAGTTGTAAACCATTGCCAGCAAATGCTCGTGACCTAATTGGCGAAAGGGGGCTTTCACAACCATCGCGCTGGCGCGAGTCTACGCCGGCATATGAGCTACCACTAAAAGGATCGGAACAAGGGATATGTATTGGAGTGGAATAGGGTCCAACACCCCCAAAAAGGAAGGCGAGTCTTCAACACGAAGGCTTTTCATTGAGACTGCTCAGCCAATAAATTGTCTGCATTCCTAGCATTTTAGGCTTTGCGTGTGGTGTTTTTACAATGGCGGCATTTACAATTTGGGAGGAGGTTCGGTACGGCACGGGGTCGTGAGTCATTCGCGCATGTTTGTGGAGCAGTTGTATAGCATGGTAGCCAGGTTGCGCGTAATCTTCGCTACCGTTGTGGCTCTAACTCGGACAGAGCGCTCTTGAGTTGACGGCGCGAAAAGCGCTTGGCACCCAAGCTTGATTATGATTATTCTTATTATTATTATTACAATTATTACTATTTGCAATGCCTCAGAGCCTTGGAGGAAAGCTGGGCGCGAGCTGCTACGACAAACTAAGGCTGAACGAGGCAAAGACGAAGGCCACTTTCGCGACGTTCCATTTTGTGAACATTGTCTCAGATGAGGGCTTGTGAAAAGGGTCCCGCTCAAAAGGGAAGCCTGTCGTCTCTAAGGCTTTTTAGCCAAGTCAGCACTGTAAGAAAGACATCATTATTTCACAACCCGCTCCTCTAGAAAGATTTCTGGCGAGGAGGGACCAGGATGGCACGGCCGCAAACGGGGACAGACTTTTGTCACGTATGAGAAGAGCTGTTGCATTCTAGCGAGGAGAGCTCAGAGCGCCGTTCCCATTTGGCACGCAGCTTTCGGAGACAGACTTCTCGAACGGGCGAGAAGACACTTGTTGCGTTTGAGCGCGGAGAGCCCAGAGCGCTTTTCCCAAAGGCACCGCCTCTTTCGGAGACAGACTTCTCAATTGTCTGAGAAGAGCTGTTGCGTTCCAGCGAGGAGAGCTCAGGGTGCCTTTTCTCCAGTCGCACGGCCAGTTTCGGAGACAGACTTTTCGAAGGTGGCGAGGAGAGCCCAGGGCGCCTTTCCTAATGGCATGGCCGCTTTCGGGGACAGAATTTTCGAAGAACTGTTGTAGTATGGCATGAGATGAGCTGTCGCATATCACGCTCACGATTGTCTAAACGGCTTTTGCGCGTAAGGGTTTTGGCGGCAGCTCATATGCCACCACTGCTGCAGCTTTTTTGCCTGCTCAGTTTGGCGCCCGTGGGCCTCTGAAATCGAGGGGCCCACGAGGTAAGTCAACGTGGGCCGGAGTCGAGCTGAGGGTGAGTGTGCAAGCCAGGGCGCGTTGGACTTGGCGCAACCTTGGTATACCCTTTGTGTCGCCAACCGTTGTTCTTCCCTCCAAGCTGGGCTTGGCCTCACGCCTCCACAGGGATGGCCCCAGTCGTGCCAAGTCAAGGCTGCTTTAAAGATTAGCAGCCTGATGCTTTCGAGTGCAGGCGATCACGCGGCAAAAAACTACATGCCAGGGATCTAAGGCCGCATTTTTCTGCTGTTTGATGGAGTTTCGACAGATTCTTCGCAGTTCTCTTCTCGACATGGTAGAGATTGCACACTTTTCACACAAAAGACCTTGCAACGAAATGTTTGTGGGAGTTGCGAGTGAGACTGCGCTGCTGCCGGGTGCAGCTGGAAAGCAGAGATCGTGTGTCCCTGCCCGGCAGCATCACAGCAGGTCATGGCGCCCACGCGAAGCCCAGGCCCTCCAGGCAAACCCAGCCTGACAGCCGGTCGCCAGTGGTGGGGGCGTGCCTTGCTTGCACACTCTCCGTACCAACGTGTTTGCTGGTCACTAAGTCTATGGAGGATAAGCAGGATAAGCATGGCAAGCTAGGTTTCCAGTCGCTAGGACATGTTTCCTTCCTGCCCCAGGAACTTCATGACCAGGCCAAATTGATTGAGAGGAGCCAGCGGCATGGCTTTTCTCAGTTCGTGGACTCGCCTGGGCCAGGTTCCCCGGGGCCAAGGGTCCTAGCCTCAGTTGAAGCTTCAGCGGACTTTGGAGTTGGACCTACCACTTCATTGGAGTGTAGCTGAGCAAAAAACAAGGTCACCCAGCTCAGAAGGTGAGCATGAACATAACATAACACGCACAGTGTTGTAAAACGTTACACAGCGGTGTGCAACAAACAAGGCTGCAACAAACGCCAGCACATTCTCAGAACCATTTCAGGCAGCCAACCCGCCCAGAATTGAGAGGAGGCACACGTGCACCCGTTTCGAGAATGTTCCTTTGTGAGAAAGATATTCCAATCACTTTTTGATTCACGGCCAATGCACGCCATTAAGGGGATGATCACAGGTATGTGGTTTATGACCAGGCACTTGGTACTGGATCTGGCACTTTGCATGGCAGCTTGCCGCAAGCAGCATGACGTGCCATATGAGCATACCAAGATTCGTATTTGACCTGAGGAGCTCCTGCAAGTAGAACCATGAGGGAGATGTGCCGTGACATGCAATGCCGTAGGGTTAGGATGCAATTTTTCACCTGGCCCAGCAATGGGCAATGCGAGAGTCGGCTGAGCCGAGGGTCTCGGAGCGCACAGCTCACAGCTTCACATGCTGCGAGCGGACGCCACCGGTCGGGGGCCCTGGATCCATGGGATCGAAATCTGTTTGGAGTGAAACAGTTGGAGGGGCCTGTCGCGTTTGAAGCAACAGGTGTGAGTCGCGTGTTATCCAGAAGCCGGCCGGGCTTGCCCCATCAAAAGTGGGTCTTTGTTGCTTGCCTTCTGCTTGCTTCCTCCTGCAGGGGAAGGAGCTCAACTCTGTGGAATGAGCTCAAATCTTTCTTCGATCAAAGGCAGCTAGAGAACCTGGATGGTGCGTTGCCTCAATTTCGATCGAGGGCAACTCCGACCCGCTGCGTTGTGCAGTCCCCGTTCTAAGCCTGACCCTTGCATGGCCAGGTGGAGTTGACGCGCGTCTTTGGGGCGTCTTAGGCCCAGTTATTGGGCCTGCCTGACATCCAGCAGTTACTTTCGAGCTTGAGGTCAATCGCCAGGGGTTCGACAAGTGACAAGACTGTACGTTGACGTGGGGATATTCTACATATTTGCAAGGATGGCAAAAGGTAGCAAATGTGGCAACGAGCATGAAAACTCTGCATGTGTGTGTGTGTTACTCTTGTTTCTTGGAATTCATCATTACCCTGCCAACAAGAGAAGATCATGCTGGCCACCACAGCGTCCGGCCTCAATCAAGGTAGACTTGTGTGGGAAGCTTTGGATGCCTGAGATTGTTGAAATCTGAGGTACGCGCTGCCACTTGCTGCGCCAGATATGGTGGGGGACAGGCGTGGCACACATCTTGTAGGTGCTGCTCATTGCGTCGCGCCATGGATTTCAAGGTTTGCATCTTGCTTTTTGGACTTAAAATGCACCGCCCGGGCGGCGGTTAGATGCACGGGGGTCCTGTTTGATACTCTTTGTTGTTTGTGGATTCACGCACGGAAGTTGTTTGTAGCCTTGAGTGCTGCAGTACTGTTTCCTTCCCAGTCGCTTGCTGGATAGTGTGAGTTCCCTGTTTGACATCAAGTTGATGGTAGTAAGATGCTGATTTAGCTTCTACGTGCACTTTCTTGGATTTTAGGAAATTCAGTTCAACGCCCCACTTGTTTACAGTTTATTTTTCTGCAGGTGTGTGTGTGTGCTGCGCTTAGCATTCACATGTTCGCCCAAGCGCGCTCGCGCACAACACACACACACACATCCACACCCCCACGCACCCACACACACACACACCCACACACACACACCCACACACACACACACTCACGACGTTCTCGCCCAAAGCGGGCACAAGAGGCCGAGCTTTTTCCGGTGTTCTTTTTGCTATAGGTGTTGGGTGCTTAACGCTGGGAAACTGTCTAAACAGGCGGGCCAACAAGTCAATCAAGCTTGTTGTAACTGTGCTTTAGCTTTTGTGTGAGTCACGCCCACACACACACACACACCTGCCGTCCGGGTCTATAGTTGTTCGGCTTTATGTTGTGTGACACGTGTCTTCAAAGGGCAAACAAGCTTCTCAGCTGCGCTTCTCAGGGAGAAGGTGCGCAGCAAGAGCTTTGATCTGGGCAACCTGCGAGTGCTGGAAAACCTGCCCGGCCACACAGAGGATGGTTGAAGGGCGGCTTCCCGCTTGAAAGGAGCTTCCACCGGCTTTCGTGACTGGCTGGGAAGCGTCAGGTGGCGGTTGCTGTTGCCAGCAACTTCACCCGTTTGCATAGTGCTGCATCACGAAGGCTATATATTGTGTTTCTCCCCTCCTCTTGTTTTTGCTCCTCTCTCAGGGCGCCGGTTCACCTTGCCCCAACTTGGAACAGTTGCACAATTACTGATTGAGGCCCTTTGTTTGCACCAAGGACACCAACAGATCGGTCAGACCCCACAAGCTGCGGACTCGGTGCTGCGATTGGAGATCCCACAATTCGGGAGCGCGCACCAGCATCGAACATAAACAGGGTACAAGACGTGTTTCGTTGCTTGGAGGGGGGAAAGCAAGAATGCTATCAAGAGCGCTGCTATGCTAGGTGAACATCAGCACTGGCACTCTTTTTTCATGAGCTGGCGTGATTGGTGCTTGCCTCAGGATCGCATGCAGCTCTGAATCCTAACCCCAAATCGAAGTGCGTTGCGACTTGAGCCACAATCTTGCTACCGTACGATGAGCAGGAAGGAAGTGGAGAGAGATGTTGAGACTGGGCGTTGAAGCTAAGGCGCCGGACCTGGATCGGAAGGGGGCTAGAGATTGCCCTTGTGCTGGCTGGTGCCTTGGGAGCGCATCAAGCCAGCCATTCAGCGCACGGCTGCGGAACTGCCGAGCCCAGGTGTATATCGCGGTGGAGCCTGCACCTCAGTCACTGATGCTGTTCAGGGCAACAGCGAAAGCCGAACTGCGAGGCAAAAGGAATGACAGAGCATGCTCTTGACTTTCTCAACCAGAAACCACTCAAACAGCTTGTGATAAGACGGACCCTTCCTTCATTGCCTGCCAAGCTTCAAAACACAATGAGGGTTCCTTTTGCGTGCTTTCAACACTTGGTTTGGCCCACCGTTCAGTCTCGAAATGTTTTTTTTTTGGTTTTTTTTTTCCGCGAGTTCCTTAAAGCGTCGTGAGGATTTGACAGCTTCCGCCTGAGGGCAGCTAAGATCCTGTTGAGCGTGAAGGCGCTTCATGGCGAGACGCCCACGGCCGGCATCTTAGCGTATCGATTCTCAGCACAGCTCACATCTCAGGCATTGAACCTCTTGCAGCTGAGGATGGCCAGGTGTTAGTTGTCTTTCAAGGGGCAGCCTGGAACTGAGTGTGGAGAACAATCTGGAGCAATTTGAGAGGGACTTTCAGGAAGCGGCCTGGCTGCCATGGCAGACTTTGTTCAGCCGGGGTTTGTTGCCTAGTTCAGGTCTCTCTGGCGAGCGGCATTTTCGTCACGGCCTGCTTAGAGGCGCTGAGACCCACGGCGCAAAGACCCACGGCGCACAGATATCCAACATGGGTGGAACAACTTGGCAGCAAATCCAGTTCAATCCACAAGCAAGATACGTCATGGCTGTAATATGTTCAGGGCCTCAACAGCTTTGCCACGCATTTTGCTGCTTTGACGTCCAATGTAAATCTTTGCCAATCGCTGAATCGCATCAAATTTCTTTCTCACTTGTGAGATTCTCAGGGTCTTGCTGGTTTGAAGCTCGCCTTCTCGCCCATTTGCACCTTACGTACGGGACTGAGCGCTTTTTCGGTTTTTGAATGGTTTTGACAGCCTCAAAGTGGGTTTGACACGGGTCACGGGAGTTTGATTGAAACAAAGGGGCCATTGCGTGTTTATTGACTGATTTGTGGTTGTTGCTGTGCTTTGTCGTATTCTACCCGCTGCCTTGGCAAGTGTTCAAAGTCAAGCCATTCTGGAACGTTTGTTTAATCCATGTACAGTATTGATGATGCGATTCCAAGGCTGCCTGCCAGCCTGCAGCTCAATCTGAAGCAAGGGTTCACGGAAAGCGCAACGTGGCCATAGTCTGTCAGGTGGCCGCCGGATTTTCCCTCAGCCTGGCGCCGATTTTGCATCACCTGCAGCAACTGGCAGATCTTTGTAGGCCGTTTCTAATTCTCATGCTTTGGCAGCCACGTTTGGAGGATCATGTTGGCCGGCTTTGCCTAGGCCAAACCGCCTTGGCTTTGGCTTTGGTTGAGGGCCTGGGCGCGGTGGGGGCCTGAAGCGATAATTTTAGTGGGATTTGGAGTTCCGTGCTCCGCTCTTGCTCGGCCTCGCTTTGTGTCAAGGCTTCAAGGGAAGGGGGGGAGAGGCAGAAAGAGCCAAGAAACAAGTGTAAACACAAGAGTCTGAGGCAGTTGTGATGGTGACCGGCCGGCATCTGAGATTTCTTGTGAGCCTGAGTGCAGCAAATGGGGATGCACGATGCACAGGGTCAGCCGGCTGGCTATTTTATGTGACCGTGCAGTTGTTTATTGCCAGATCAGTTCAAGTTATAAGCTCGCCGTTTCTTTTTCATTTTCGGTTTGGCCCTGGCCGCAGGCTATTTTTACATGCCGCTTTGCGCTCTTCTGAGCGCCCTGGTCTTCAGAAGGCGCTATGGCTGGCTTGAAGCGGGGGCCTCAATCGCGGGGGAATGAGGACGGCAAGATCGACAATCAAACAGCACATTTGCAAGCTCGAACATGATATGAGTCTGTAGGGCTCTCGACATGGGTGAGGAAAAGGGATCCAGGCAAATTCAAACCAGACAGAGAGAGGACTCCCCTTGTTCAACTCGTTGATCAACCACTACCGTCCTCCGCTGCACACACACACACACATGCAGAGACGGCCGTGACAACACACTACGACAACTGCTCAGATTCATGGCCTGGCCTTCTTGACCACGAGCATCATGATTTTCGTGGAGCTGGGCAATCGCTACTTGGGTCAATTGCTCCCGCGATGTCATACGCGTGTGCATACAGGTGCAGCTTATGACCCGTGATCATGTGCCACCGGGGATAGTTCACAATGCGGATTGCATGCGCATCAGGCCACAGGAATGACTGTGGGCAGATGGCACTGTAAATGTAAAACGGGAGTCAGTAGATGAAAAGAGCCTTGTCATGGCCGACAATGAGTTGCCTTCGATTTCATTGCAAAGGTGTCGCCCGAGTCCCGAACAGCTTTCAGGCGCTCAGATAGCACTTGCCAGCATCCTGACCGCCTGCAAAAAGTGCAGGCGTTCGAATACAATATCGTTTCCATCGCCAGGGCCTCAGCCAACTGGGGCAAAGCATGGGCCATGCAGAAGCCGCTGCAAGGTGTTGTCGTGTTTCGCATCGGTTTATTTGGAGAAGATCCTGAAGCCGAAGTACTCTGAAAGGACAGCGAGCGACAGGTCTTGTTCCGCAGACTCAGCGTGGGCCGTTGCCTCATTTTCATACAATGCACCCCAAAGTCACGGGAGGACATCTTTGAATCAGCACTACTACATCCAGAAGGTTGGAGCAACAGTTATGACGGAGAGGCTGAAGTCTAAATTTGCGCAACATTCCCTTGTGTTGCGTATGTTCCTCAGCGATCATGGCAGGTTTGGCTGGAAATTGGCGGCCTTGTGCTTTCCATCCCTGGCTTGTGTGGCTCTCAAGGTCTTCGCTTCGCGAAAATGTTGACGCCTTTGTCCACTCTCCAGCGTGTAGCATTGATGCAGCAGGGGGGTGGCTTCGGCGTTTCTTCTCCGCGACCTGCAGTCATTGGGGCAATGGGGGCAATGGCCGGGCAAGTGCAGATTTGCAGATTGGCCTTCCGAGGTTTGCCTTCCAGGCGCTGAGCTCCAAAAAGCAGATCTTCTCAGGCTCTTGGCCAGCTGCTCAGGGCAAGGACAAGAGAAACATCTTTGATAGAAACAGAAGTCAGCTGAAAAACAAACAACGAGCGAAGTTCGGGCTGCCCTGTAAGGCTCGAAAAGATCGAGGCTGCATTCACAGGGTGGATGTGCCTGCCGCCTAGGTTGGGCAGATGGGAGGCTTTTGGGGCTTCGCCTGCGACACAAGCACGAAGACAGTTTTGTTATGTTTTGTTGACATGAACACAGCACTTGTGCGACTAGAAAAGGATTGAATGCCCTGCAGCAGTCTTTGGATGACTGAAAATTCAGACATCACCTGCTAGGGCATGTTGAGATTAGTTTGCTTTCGTTGGGGGAACGTAAGGGGACCTCGAAGCAGCCGTGCTGAGGTGCTGCCCTAGCTGCCCGTGTAGTGCAGAGTTGGTGGCGTCCTTGGGGACACTGGATGGCTGATGATGGCTTTTTCTAGAAGGAAACGCCACGCTTTTGTGAATGTGGCATGCGAAGAGACGCCCTGCACTGGTTTATCCCACTCGCTTGGTTGGCAAGCAAATGTAGACCAGGGGTGGTGTAATGCATTTAATGCAACTGGCAAATCTCCCAAAGGCTCTTGCCTCAAGTTGAAAGTAAGTTTTCAGGGATGCTGAAGGCTTGGGCGCCCAACTCTGCAACGCAGGTTCACCGGCCTAGTCTCAAAATACCTCTCAACACTCGGCAGGGCTGCCCTGGCCTTAGTGCCTCAGTGCCTCAGTGCCTCAGTGTGTGGCGCAATCGGCGAGGTCATCCAGTGCGTGGCAGTGATTGTGGTGCATTTCTGGGACACCTTCTTCTCGAGCCGGAACCCGAACGTTTGTTCAGCACGTGCTTGCATGAGGGTCAGACGATGGCGATGCATTTTCTAGTCCGCTGCAAGGTGAGCGCTGGGATTTGGTAACAACTATGCTTGCGCTCGTCGCAGCACGGCAAACAGTCAGTGTGTCGACGTCAAAGCTATTCATTTGAATTGAATGCTGGCTTGCTGCGTTATTGCCACAGCATTCTGGAGGGACACGGGGTGACATGAGCAAGTTGTTTGGAGAAGGACGCTTCTGGGTCCTGCCCTTCATGAGGTATGCCTGAGCGCAATGATGTATCAGACGGGGCGCAGGACGCTACTGGCATTGCCAATCCCGTGATGGTGCATGTCAAATGCAGATTGGGGAGAACTCAGAGTTTCTCAGGATGACAGTGGTTTCTTGGTCCAGCGCCAGTGGTGGGGAAGCTCAGGATGAGCAAGTTGTGAACCGGTGCTGTGTCAAGCAGTGCTACCGTGCTAACTCCGCCGTGTTTCCACAAACGTGTAGTGTGATGCAGTAGGCTTCGGCCATAGCGCAAACGCGTTCCTGGTCTTTTTGCGGACATCCGTGAGGGCTCAGCCCCTTGGCCTCGCCTTTGCATTGGGGCGTGCGAAGGCGAAGCCGGCGGCACCGCAGAAGAGGCCAGGCTGCGGATTCAAAATTTTGCACACTTCGTCACTTCGTGGATCGATTCGGCAATCGGCCTCTCATCTCACGAGCAGGTCTCGGTGGTCTCGACATCTGGCCCCAGCCAGCAGCTGACATCCCCTGAAGGCCAACGATTGGTGCGGCAAGCAAGTGGGGGCTCCACTTCTGAACAAATGAAAAAGTCATTTCTATAGCCTGGCGACTTTGAAAAGATGTTGTGTCAGCATGTCTCAACAGGCTTCGTCTTGAGCTGCAACCCACACAACCTCGGCCAACTGAGTTTGCTTGCCAGGCTCCTTCGAGATTGAAGGCACGGCCTCGCAGCCTCCCAGCATCAAGAGGAGAGTGCTTGCATGAGCTTCCTGGGCCACGTTTATTGAATGCCCCCTTAAGAATTCACAGAGAAAGCAGCCACCACAGGGAAGGCAGCCTTCTCCGGACCAGTGTGAAGATGTGGAGTGATCAGCTCCTTTTGTCGTTTGAAAGTCTTTGTGCGGTCTTGTTGCATGAGTAGGTCAGGAAGCTCGGCGCTTGGCCTTCCATCTCTTCGGTGTTTAGTGTAGTTGGGAACTGTTTGGACGGGCATTTGATCAGAGAGGGCTTCCAGCAATACCATTTGATTACTATGGTCATCCTGGGCGATCCTCCTCAACGGCTTGACCTGGACCTGTCAACCCGGCACACCCGATCGGCTCACCTGGAAACCCTCCTCTTGACCACGCGCAGCTCGACGCTTCAACCACCGCCGGGAACACCGCCATCTTCACCCGTTCATTGGACCGCAGACATGGACAGCGAGCGCATGACGAGCAGCCAAGATGAATTTTGCGGCCCGCCCTGCTTACAAGGCCACCGCTCAGAAGCTTCATTATGTCCCGGAAGCAGAACGTTGGGAGGCCATCAAGAGCAATTGCCAAGTGAGTGAGAGGGGCTCACTACCCAGAAGTACAGGAGGACTAAGCGCTCCGTGACTGACGCAGTCTAACAAAGCTAGGTCACGGAGTCGGGCCAAGCGCAGCGTGCGCCTGCTTAAAGTGAGACAGCTGCCTCGCACATGTCTGAGAAGTGACACTAAGTGTGTGTGTGTGTGGGTGGGTGCGTGCGTGGGTGGGTGGGTGGGTGGGTGGGTGGGTGGTGGGGGTGGGGGTGTGTGCGCGGTTGTGTGCGTGTGCGTGCGCGCGTGCGCGTGTGCGCGTGCGCGTGTGCGCGCGTGTGCGCGTGCGCGCGTGCGTGCGCGTGCGCGTGCGCGTGCGCGGCGCGTGCGCGTGCGCGTGCGCGTGCGGTGCAGGTGCGGGTGCGGGTGCGGGTCTGGGTCTGGGTCTGGGTCTGGGTCTGGGTCTGGGTCTGGGTCTGGGTCTGGGTCTGGGTCTGGGTCTGTGTTTGTGTCTGTGTCTGTGTCTGTGTCTGTGTCTGTGTCTGTGTCTGTGTCTGTGTCTGTGTCTGTGTCTGTGTCTGTGTCCGTGTCCGTGTCTGTGTCTGTGTCTGTGTGCGCGTTTGCGTGGTTGCGTGCTTGTGTGTTTGCGTGTTTGCGCGTTTGTGTGTTTACGTGTTTGCGTGTTTGCGCGCTTCCGCGTTTGCGTGTGTGTGTGTGTGTGTTTGTTTGTTTGTTTGTTTGTTTTTTTTTGTTTGTTTGTTTTTTTTGTTTGTTTGTTTGTTTGTTTGTTTGTTTGTTTGTTTGTTTGTTTGTTTGTTTGTTTGTTTGTTTGTGTGTTTGTGTGTTTGTGTGTTTGCGCGCGTGTGTGTGTGGCTGTGTGTTTGCGTGCTTGTGTGTTTGTTTGTTTGTTTGTTTGCGTGTTTGTGTGTTTGTGTGTTTGTGTGCGTGTGGTGTGTATGCGCGGCGCTGGCACTCAGAATTGGTTGGCTGATGTTGGCTGGTTGCTTTGCATTATGGGTATGATCCAATCGCGAAAGCTAGCTTGAACTTGCTGAAGTCTCAGGCTGACAGGGGCAACAGTAAAGAACACCACATACTGATTCTGGCAATGGTTCCGCTCGCTCCTACCGTAGACTCCTACCTAAGTTGTTTTTCCGATGGTTTCCTCCTTCTTCTCATCCTTTTCCTCGCTACGCATCCCTCAATTCTATATTCTCTCCGCGCTTTAGCCTGCTATTGCCTGGCTCCACTCGTTGCTTTCTTTCTCCTGTCCTTTTGCTTGTTTTCCCGCTCTTCTCAGAACTTCTCTCCGCTCTTCTCCCTACTCGTTTCTGCTGTGCTAGCTAGCATTCGCTCCCCTTCCTCTCAAGTGTGCTCTCTCCTATTTCACTGCGCCAACTCATGAAGGTACGTTTGGTGATATCCTCGTCGCTCGGGTGCAGGAGAGTAGACGGCTCCAGCTTAGTGCCGGAAGCACATCTCATTTGCGAGTCACCTGCCTGAGACAAGAGCTCGCGCATTTTGTTATCACTTTTTGGAGGGTTCAACTGCTGATGTGTGGTAGGAGTCAGGCAAACCAAGTCCGGCACGCCATCATATCCCAAGTTTGTTGTGGACACCATTCGGGGGGCATAGTGGCACTTATCATGATCCTTAGTGCCAAGGTTTGAGCCGGCGGAGACGGAGGGCAGATCGTGTGCACCTTCACAGCAGCAGGCAGGGCAGGAAGCTGCTGGACGGTCATTGTCAGACAAGTTCAAGGCAGCGCACGGCCCGGAAGAATACCAGGTTGGCTTTGAAATTGCATAGTTTGAGTCTGAGCTGCTAGTGGTTGGGGATTGCTGCAGCCTGTCCCCAAAGACATTGCTGCAATCATATCCTGAGCCGATGCCAGCAGAGAGAGGCACAAGCGGACATTTCTTGATGATGTCTTGCTTGAGCTCCCAAACCAAATCTGCCGTCGAATTGGGTTTGTCAACACTTTTGCTGGCTTTGCCGTAAAACCCGCCACTGGAGCTTTGGCTCGGGAGCTCTGGTGGCGCGCCGACGCGCCGCGGCAGCCGTCCAGGCCAGGGAAAGTCCAGGATCGTTCGGCATGCCCTGCACAATGATAATAGCAAGCGGTCTGAGAAGAGCATTGTTGATCTCCGAATGGGGCGACCCGCTGTGCAGGGGGCATGTGTAACGGCGCTCCTCTCACCTGAAGATGCCGGATTGAAGTGTTGGATCTTAAGTCCAAGATTGCCCTGAAGTGCTCGCTTGTCTGTGGTCCTGAGACTCGCTGTTCTCCAGGCCGCAATGCCGCCGAAGAAAGCGGCGCCGAAGGCAAAGCCCCAGGTGATGAAGTACACCATCGACTGCCAGCAGCTTGGCTGCGAGATGCTGCGAGTGCTCGAGCGTCCGATTCGTCACGGCACCTTGGCGCTTCTCCGTCGCTGCGTCGCATCTACGTGACTACATCGTCAGCCTTTAAATATGACGTCAAAGTTGTGAAAGTTTGGCAGGGGTGCGACCCTTTCGCAAAGCATGTTAGCTTTTGCTCTTGTGTTTTAGTTTCAGCATAAGTCGGTTGCAATAATCAGGCAGAACCTCAGCGCCAAGCACATTGCAATGTAAGGCAGCCTGCAGATGACAACATCCTTGAGGTCAAGGACTTTGAGAAGTTCTTAACCAACCGAATCAAGGCTCATCAGCAGGTCACCCAACCCGAGCAGCTTGCTGAGTTGCTGCCGAGTTGCTGCCTTGCTGCTGCTATTCTGTTGCTATTGCTGTTGCTACTGTTAGGTACTCTCTTGTTGATTCCAAATGCACGGGAACGTAGGAAACGCACGCTTTTGCGTCAAATCAAGTCTTCAGATGGGTTGAGGGGATTTGCTGCTCGTTTTTGCCGCCCGGAATGCAGGTGGACGGTAAGACAGGCAACCTGGGAGATAAGATCAGCATCAGCCGGGAGAAAGCCAAGGTCCATGTCACAGCAGAGGCGCCCTTCTCCAAGAGGTACCTGAAGTATTTGGGCAAGAAGTACCTGAAGTCACAGAACCTTCGGGACTTCCTCCGCATCATTGCTCCCAGTAAGAACTCTTACGAGATGAGGTACTTCAACATCAACGACGCGGATGGCGAGGGCACCGACTCTGACTGATGTGGTTGTAAGCCCTGCCTGGCAGCGAGCCAACAGAGGCCAACCACAGTCGCAAAAAGTGCTGAGCGAGCCTGGTGCCTGAGTCTATGCACGTTTGAAGGGGCAAGCAAAGGATCGCACGTTTGTTTCATCTAATGAAGGCTCAGCCAGGGATCGGACTGCTGGACCGCCGGGCTCCCAGGTGAAACCAGAACATGCGTGTCCAGTTCCGCAAGCGAACGGCGCAGCAGGAATACTCTGTATAAAGTAGTGAGCAAGATGTATCATAAGCCAAACTGTCCGAAATTCCTTGTCCTTAGCCTTCATCAATTCTGGTCAATGGCTTGTAATGAGGCTATTCTTGATAAGCGCTTCGTGCTGCCCGCCTCGGCAATTTGGACGCTTCCTTTGATCTCCGCTCTTACGCCAGGGCCAGGCGTGGGGCAGCTGGGCAGCTGGCAAGAAACGACGCGCATACCTCCCATACGTAAAAGCACCCGTTTAGCACTGAAGGACAGCCACAGCTGTGCAAGGGACTGGGGCTATGTGACCTTCCAGAGGCCACAGCTAGGACACGCAGCTCGGCTTTGGCACAAGGGCCTCAACAAGTTGGCCAACCGCGTGACTTCATTGGTTCTGGCCGCCCTGAGGGCGAGAGCTAAAGCCATAGTCCAAGAGCAAGGGGTTGCAAAAGGGATCTGACCGCTTCGGGGCGGCGGCGAATATGATTCAAGTATGTACTGAAGCAAGGAAGTGATCAGGAGCCAGCCCAGGGTCAACTCGCTTGCCAGGCAACTGGACAAAATCTGCGCAGATGCATTGCATGCGTGGGCCAAGGCACCTGGTATGATCAAGTACGGGGCCTCAGAGATGACCTTCAAACACCTTCAGTGTGGCCCACGGCGCCATCTCACGCTGCAGCTTCGCATTCTCGAGGGGGCTAGGGTATGCATCCATCGCGCGTTTTGATCACATCAGGTTCAATCCGTGCGTTTGTGGCATTAAGTGGCACAAGGCCCAGCACATCAACAACCAACTAGCGACGTGGCTGGCCTCCTCTGTCCCGCGCTTACCTGTGAGCAATGAGGTGGACGCTTGCGCTACCTCATTGGCAGCATAGGTTCTGTTTGAAGTGTGGTTGCAGTTGAAATAGCAGCTGGAGGGCCGGAGCAAAAACAGTCTTAGTATCACCTCCCAAAGGGCAGCATGATTTGCCGTGACTCAGTGTTGGGACTAGTCTCCTTCCCCTTGTCCTCATACGGCGGCTTCCTAGGCTGGACTGTCTTCACAGGCCTGGAGGGCAGAAAGGAGCGGGGTGGCCAACAGCCAATACATTGCAGAACTGCAATCTGCATATTACGAATGTGCATGTGTTATATAGATCACACACACATATATGTTCCAGGCCGTGGACCCCCCCCTCCCCCCCCCAACCCCCCCCCCCACAGGGGGTGGGGGGGTGGGTGTGGTGGTGGTGGGGGGTGTTGGGCTGGTGGTGGGGTGGTTGGGGGTTGGGGTTGGGTTGGGGTGGGGGTCGGTATAGGGTTGTTTTGCGGTGGGTTTCGGGTGGGTTTGGGTTTTGGGTTGATTTAGGCTTAGGGTTGGGGTTAAGGAGGGGTTGCAGGGTGGTTTGGTTTAGGGTAGGATGTTGCGAGAGGTGCGGGGGTGTTGGTTCACGGGGTGAAAGGGGGTCTGGGACCGAAGCTGCAGGGCTCGCACGGTACTGGACAGCATCCCCAGCATTGCCAGCATCATCCCCAAGATGCGGATGATGCGGGGGAGTGGGGGGACCATACCATTGGGGGGGGGGGGGGGTACGTGGCCCAGGGACTGGTACATATATATATATATATAGGTGTGTATATTAATAATATGTGTTGCGTGTGCGGGTGTGTGTTTGTGTGTCTGTGTTGAACGTCACTGGGTCATGGCGCATTGCAAGCGCACAGGTGCTTCAATTCAATGATATGATTCTATGATGTTTGTTTCCGACATTTTGGCACCAGACTGCCCCACGGATTACATGAGATGGACCAGTGGCCAGGTGCTGTGCGTGGTGGCCTTCATCCTTTCTGATGCGTGTCGTACGCTGATCAATGCATGGGCGGGCGCCTGAGGTTTCTTCCGGTGGAAGGTACAAGGCCAACTTGTAAACTTGCCATGGGAATCTGTGTCAAGATAGCCATCCCTGGCAGGCGTTGGCTATCTGTAAACAGCTGTAACCTTTGGGAGGATTGGAACTTTGGAACTTGTAAGCTTGGGCGGCTGCTCAGGCAATCAGAGATACCCCCATCGTGCAGCAATCCGTGGTTTGGACCATGTCCGCCTCCTCCATACCGATTGGCATTCTGATGTCAGCAGTCCTTGATGGCCGAGAAGGACTTGGTGTGCACATGCAAAATGTGTCCATCTCTCCTTGAAGCATACGGCTCTCAAGAGTAGCTGGTTGATAGGCTGCAGCACCAACCAGCGCTGTACCCCGCTGCAAGCAACGGCGTGCATGTGTTCGTGTGCATATGTTTGTTTGTGTGTGGCATTGTTGAAAGGAGTGTGGGCGTCCTTGCTGTGGCGGGATTCATTGACGCTGAGCCCTAAGCAGCATGTGAAGCAATTTGGTTTGACTTTGGAATTTCCTGAAGCTAATTGGAGCCTACCGACGCCAGAGCAGAGGCAAAACAACATGCTCTTGTTGCTTGCGGTGGTTTTCATACGTGCTTCTTTGTCAGTGTTTAGTGTGGTGGCAGTTTTCTGGGGAAATATGAAGGTCAAGAGAATTGTCAGGATTGTCCCAAAAGCTGACCCCGAAGAGGTTTTGCAAATGTTTCATTGGGGCCAGGGGAGAGTGCCATTTTTGATTTCCTATCTCAAGTGAATGACCGACGTAGCAGGCTTGGCGACCAACTCTGCCTCCCTGTTGCACACATGTGTTTGGTCAGTGCGCCACGTCCGAGGGCACCATACAGCAGATGACACTCTGGTTGACAGCAGCTTCCGTGCCACACCACCGAGGTGCTTTCCCGTTGCTGCCTGCTTCTCACTCGGGCAGACACTTCAAATCAAGGCGCTGGAAGCTAGCTGTGGGTATGCCGCCTTGAGCAGGATCATTGAAACATGCAACATACCGCTTTGAAACAGCCTGCTTCAAGCATGCGGGCCAACATGCTGGAGCTAACCAATTCCAATAAGAAACCTGCTGGGAGCTACAAAAATCTACAGAAAGCTAACAAAAACTAACAAAAGCTAAAAAAGGCTAACGTAACAAAACAATCCAACAAGGCTTTAAAGAGCCTGAACTGCAACCAAAAATAAATTCCTCATTATGAGGCAGTCCACCCTTAGAACGTTCATTTGGGCGGCTGGGTCGCTTGCCTTCGTCCACGAGATACGTTCAGTTGCGTGCGCGTTGAACGCACGAACGGCAAGATCACGACGGAGCCGGGCCTCTTACAAAGCACCTAAGGGGACACCGCAGAACAATCCCCTAGTCTTCGCTGGCCCCTTCACTGCTCGCTTGGCCATTTCTGCAAACATGTTACTGCTTCTCAAACGTTCATGGCGCTCGATGGCCTTCGCGTCACATTTCACGCATTAAGGCAGCCCAGCGTGACAAAAGTGTTTGCAGCCCCCCCACAACCTGCTAAAATTTACAAAAAGCCAACACGTGGCGCCAAAAGCTACGAAAAGCTAACAAATGCTAAAACATGCTAGCAAATTCCAAGAAAATTCCCGATTTTTGGCCCCGCCTCTTCCGGGCCATTTTTGCAACACAGTAGCGTACTTTAAATACATTAAAAGGAAAACGACACTGACCCCAATACTTCCACCTTGAAAATGCACCCCCGTTCGCAGCTCCACATGTGGGTCGCTTGCGCGGGCACATTCGAGCACTTCCTATATCGCGCTGCCCTCAAATAGGATCTGGTGGCTAACGCCAGTCATGTTGTTGCTCACACGCCGCTGCTTGCGCAGATTATGGCGTCAGCAAGGCGCATACCAGCATTTGGTGTCACACATCAACCAAGGTGAATAATACAAGCAGTTCCAGCAGCCAGGGCGCAGACATAGAGCGTTCCAGCAACACATCAACGTCATGGACACCAAGCGAAACACGGAATGGACAAAGTTAGCCTTGTTCAGCTCCCCTGACCTTTGGTTTTGTGCGAAAGCAGGGTGTTTCAAAGCAGCTTGTCCCAAGTATCTAAGACAGGATTATGAATGTTCGCGCAGTTGGCGATGCCGTTTGCTACAGTGCACATGTCACTGGAAGAGCTGTGTGTTTGTGTATGCGTATGCGTGTAGCGCTGCGATGGTCCTGTCGCATGGACCTGAACAGGCTTGCCATAAAGCCGGCATGAGTCCATAAACGTATATTGTTCAGGCCCTACTTCCATGCCCCAACTGCACAATAATATGGGCCGAACTTGTGGCTTATACCTGAGCAATCCAGGTTGCATATTCCACAAACAAATCTTGTATAGCGCTCACTTTGGAATGTGTGGTGTGCAAGCAGGACCCTTCATAATGTGTCATGCCAAGATAATTTATCCAAACCTGTCTGCTGCTTCTTTCCATTTAGACATTCAATCAGGCAGTTCAGGGATAGGCTTTTTGTTGCCACGAGGCCTCTGCATTTGCATTAGGGACCCAAACCTTTGCTAACCCTGGTGGGTTTGGACCAGTGTTCGTGAGAAAAGCAGCCAGGCCTACGGTGCCGGCATCAGTGCCTCTGTGAACACCGTCTTGGGGTGGGGGCCTTTGAACAAGACGCGCTGACCAAAACTTTCCGGATTTTTGAAAGGTTAAGGTTGTGGTCGCCGCATTGCCGCATTTGGGCTTTGCTGCTGTCTCAAATGTCTTGTGGAATAGTGTGAATGTAGACAAGACCTTTCCATGTTCTCGTGCAAAGATGGGGGTTGCAGAGGATGTTACTTTGGAAGTTGCAGTTTGCCCATCACATGTTGACCAGGTACTTCTACATGCCGATGAGCGCCATGTTGAGCCGCTGGGTGCCAGGTGCTCGGATCCCCGTCAGTGGGGCTTTGAACTCAAGAGTATCGCATGTGGCCAGTGCGGTAGCTGAAGTGTCGTATGTCTGGTTCGTCCTACCTTCAGAACTGAGCACTTCTTCACAAGCAAGTTGAGGCACTGTCTACACCTATCTACCGCCCATTTGCCGGCACACTGAGGTTTCAGAGGGCCCGGGCCCTTAATGTCCACTGCAGCGGGCCTTTGGCCCTCGCATGAAATACTTTGCAGCATTGGCGGTGGTTGGTGTCTAACTGGATTTTGATGGTGCAGCGGTTTGTATTTTCATCGTTTGCGATTGAATCCATACATTTGCGTAGTCACCAACCGTCATATCTCGACTTCCTCAACATAGGTTGGGAGTGTCGTTTGTTCAGTGAGGGTGGTGTGCAAAGCTGGGCATTGATGCAGTTGCTGCAAACTGCCCGTTGAATGGCATTGGGGCGACCTCCAACATGCAACCAATGCTTTTTGGACGGGATGTGCGAAGATGAGGCCTACAGTGCCCTGGAATGGCTGGCTTTGGCCTTATTGCCCTGCGCTGAGACACGAGTCCCATCCACAGAACGTCCTGTAGTTTGCTAGTTGCTATTGCTGCTTGTGTCGGTGCAACTTCAGTGGCCAAAACGCTTGTGTCAGAGGGCCGCTTCTTCCTCACACCAGGCATCAAAAGCCTTGCCGTTGATTGAGTTTTTTGTTGCCTTTGTTGAATGACACTCTCTGTGGCCATGGCAACGAAGCCCAAGTCATTCCGATGCGAAGTGCACGTTGAGTTGCCAAAGCTTTGTGGCACGATTGTGTCTGGGTAGCACTGTTTTGGCAGAATCGCCGCCAGCTTAGAGCTCCACTCCGGATTGAGCCGTGCAGCTTTGGGCATGACAATCAGCTGCCAGGTCTTTGACTGCGGTCGTTTTCTGCCTGCTCAGGACGGGGTCTGAAAATGCACATTGTGTCTCGGGTATCAAACACAGGCCAATCACGCATATGAGAGCTTGTGGTTTTGCACTTAAACGCAGGAGCTGAGCAAACAGCTCTTTTCAGATGCATAATTGGCAGTCTGTGTGCGAGCTATCAGATTGCCCGCGTTGGGTCTCCTAATGGCAACAATATATTTTTAAATGGGTTGTAAAGCCACCGCGGCTTCTGTTTTTCTGCCTATTCCCAGAGGTTGAGGAGGCATGTCAGCAAAAATTTGGCAGCCAACCTCGAAAAGCGTCCTGCTAGCGCCGGCTTTGAATATGAGGGGTTTATGTTTGACTGAGGCGTGCATTTGTGATTGCACTGGCCTTGATGTTAGTCGGATTTCCTTGTCCGACCTAGCAGCTCAGTGCACATCGAGTGCACATCGCCAAGAAATCGTCGCACCTGAGGAGCAGCAGAAGCTCTGAGGATTCAGCCAGCGCTGTGGCCATCGCCTGCTGCTTGGGCTCGGCCTGCAGCTCAGAATTGGCGTTAAGGAGCACTCACGGATGTGCTCCTTTCTTTTGCTTTCCCATTCAATTCAATCTGCATTAAAATGTGTGGTTGCACGAGTTGCTTCAGGCCTGGGCTCCAGGATTGTTTTTTGATGGATTCTGCTTCCAGATGATTTAGGAGCCTTGCCAGAGAAGACACTGCTTGGACATACAGGCCTATGCATTCATTCCGGCCGTACATACATACATACATACTTGCATACATACATACATAGTTGTTTGAGGCCTTCGAAGTGAGGGCACTTGATCTTAGAGGTTGAAGCCTTGGCTCCAGTGGATAGCCCGGACTAACCAGGTGGTGTCGTCCTGCATTGGCTCGCTGATGTGCGAGAAGATCATGAAGGCGCATATGCGCAGCCGAAACAAACTGAGCGACGTTCGACAGCCCTGCACGAGAAAGTAGTATTCGTGTGGAAACAAGGGGAACATGTCGGATTTAGGCAAAAGGGGTGGCGAGGGGGGGGCCAAAGATAAGTACTAGTTTTCCTTTGTTCCCGAAAGCGTGCGAAAACGAACCAGTTCTGAATCCGCGAAAGCGACGCGACATCGATTGCCTCGTCAAAGCCTCTGACTTTAGCCAACGGAAGCTTTTGTGGTGCGACAGCCACGCGAAAGCCTTCGCAGGGATTTGATATGTTCGCTCAACTGGGCTTACGGCAGCTTGAGATTCACTTCAAAGATGATCCAGCTGTTTGACCATGTTTGACCTACCTTGGCAGCACGGGCCGGGCTTTCATTTGTGCCAGGCTCGCCCATACCCATTCTACACCCAGAAGGACTGGCCGCTGAATGCAGGTATTTCTTCACCTCTAAGCGCATTCAGCGCATTCAGGTTCACCTCGAGTTTGGCGGCCTGGCCACGGCTTCGATCATGCTCTTCGTTGCCGCGGCCTAAGTTGAAGCACTAGCGGGTCAGACGGCGTGCCCATAGGACATCCAAGTTGCCGGCCTTTTGCTTTGGGTTGCTGTAACTTGAGTTAACTCGCATGGACAATCTGCCCGAGCATTAAGCACCATATCGCTGATCTTGAAGAGTGATCGATTCCAAACGCCATGAGGCCTGTTCGCCTCACCTTGGTTTGCACGCCAAGGTTGGCAGTCTCAGCCCACACCCAGCAGATGCCTTCTGGAAGGAAAGGGATGTGGATGGCCAGATGGAGGCCTTTGCAAGAGGAAGTGCAGCATAGCAAGGTTATCCGCAGCTTTGAGACTTGGTTTATCAAAGTCGCATCACCCTCGTTGCATACGTTTGTCAGCTCACACGAAAGGCCGGTCTTTTCGTGGGCTGGAGCTTCAAGACCTTTGCAGCGTTGCTCGCATGGAGCCCAGCGTTGCGGCTTGCAATGGAAGGGTTGAGCCGTCGCCACCTATGCGCCAATAAGCCGTACGGGTTGCAAGTCGCAGCTGGATAGATTGGCTGTTTGGAAATCCTGACGCACGAGACTCACCGAGTGCGTCCGAGGGCTCTGTGTTGCAGAGTTGGCTCGGCGGACTGGTCTCCAAGCGCCCGAAGCCCAATCAATGAGCTTCGGGGCTGAGCTGTTGGACGCACTTGGTCTCAAAAAAAGACAGCAGGACGCTGTGAGAGTGTGCTTGTTTATACATGTCAAGCTTGCTGAAGTATTGTTCACGTAGACTTGCATATTCAAAAAAAGAGTGTTGAGTGGAAATTCCAGTAGACATTCAGTTTTGAATGCTTTGCCATGTGTAGGGCTCACCCGACTGCATTCACATCATCAGTTCAACCTTTTAGGAGGATGCACTTAGAGCAGCAACTGCCTCATGACTCGAGTGGCTGGGAGCGATCAAGCATGCCTTGCAGCAACACATATTGCCCATTTGCCCCGCGGCTGAGGCCTCTCCACTGTGGTCAGATCTGTCGCGCAACGCCTGCAATGTTTTGACCTGCAAGCATCCAGCCACACCAAAGAGTTTGTACTGACACAAGTATAGCAGGGCATGCTTTGGATGCAAGGAACCTGGCAGTTGTTGCATCTCTCCTTGCATCCGCCGCGAGGATCTGAAAACCAGTGACTAGCATTTGGTTTGAGGTAAACTGGCGATCAGCGAGTTGTTGTCCAGCTGCGCTTGTGTCCACGTCAGGCAGTGTTTATCCCTGCTGATCATCTACTTCTTTGGTGACTTGGCAGCTCCGGCCAGCTTACTTGCAGCAGGAATGATTGACATTGAGCCAATGCCCTTCATCAATCTTCGCAGGTCTTGAAGAAGTTGGAGTTTGACTGGATCGTGGGTGCTGCTGCTATCATTGTGGCCCTGAGCGTGCAGGCACGCTCCAATGTCAATGCAAGCCGCTCACCCGTTGCATCTAGTCACCGGATGAGAGCAGGGAACCGCACGTGGATTCACCAGTCTGCGTCTAAGCAAGCAACATGCTTCATCTCACCAAGTTCTCTCAGGTGTTCACCTTGGCAGGACAGCGCAGGAGGCGGCGCTGTGATACGCAAGACTTGTTTGATTGATCACACTTTTGGTCGACTGTACTTGCATGCCTTGACTGGATTTGCCAGCACGGGCTATTTTGAGACGTTGGGTCAAGGAGCAACCTAGATTTACAACTCAGCTTGCTTAGAGGGATGTCGTTCAAGGTGGGGTTCTTCTTGGTTGGAGCATGGGCGATTCAACTTTCCAGGAGATAGCAGGAGAATGTGAGCAGTGTTTCGATTGGTTCCCGGTCAAATGCATTGCCCGGAAGCTCGCACAAGTCTTCCACTTTATCTACGCGGCCCATGTGCCGTCAGGAAGAATGACCCGGCACATGAAAATGAGTCACCTACAAGATGTTCCAGACACAGTAACGTTGACCTTGGATCTCCAAAAGTGATGATTCCCCACTAAACCCAGGGACACCTCCGCGTTCACGAAAGCTAGCTGTGCTAGCGGGAGGTGTCGGGCCGAGCTTCTCACGAGGGTGCCCTAAAAAGCCTGAATCGCATCTTTACCTGGGGGACCTCCCCCCTTGAAGGGTTCGATTCGTCCCTGGCCCGCCCCCGCCCCGCACGAGCATATTCCCATAATCTGATACAGCTGGAGAATCTGTATCATTAGGACCTAGTCCAAGTGTGGGTCTTACTAACCTTCTGAATGTTCATTTAGGATTGCTATTCTTAATATTTTAGCAACCCCTGAGTTCTTCAGGCTAGCTTTCAGAATCGTTGTACTTCTGCCCGGCGTGGCCAGGGCCGAAGCGGCTGAAGCCGGGTGAGAAAGTGCAATGCGCAGTTCGAGCGGCAGATGTCCAGGAAGCGTGCTTGGTAAGCAAAAACATGCGAGTGTGGCTCTATACAGCCTTGCTTCTCTTGCTGCATTTCTGTGTGCCCGTCAGTTCAGGAATCCCATGGAACCCCCAACCTATGAAGTGGTTGCCACGCATGTGTCCAGTTGCTGTCGGATTGGATCCAGCCCGACTCGCGACTTGCAGCCGTGATGGCATCCAGCATCTAGATTTGGTGTAAAGATGGCTGCGTCAGCTGAAATAGTCTCGACGAGCAGCCGGGCTGAAGATGGCAACAGCAAACAAGCAACTTGGCAGGACGGCAGAGATGTGTTTGACCTCCAGTGCGCATGGGTCGCAGTGCAACGTTTCTGCCATAACAGTAGCTTCTAGTGAGTCAGACAGTATGCTGATAATCTCTGTTTGTGCTTCACAGCCCTTGCCGAAGCGTGCTTTTTTCCTCATCGCGTTCACCACGCTGACATCACTGTATGCCTGTATGCAATGTTTGCCAAGGCGCGCGCCACGATGATTGCTGCCATCAGCAACCTTTCCACTGCGTACAACCTTGTGAACTGCAATTTGACCAACGAGCCCTTGGCAATTACAAGGGGTGCAAATGCGTATTGGGAGAAGGGGTTGGGCGCTTGCAAGATCTTTCGTGCACAGCAAGGGTACTTGTACTAGAGATCAACAGCTTGCCGCATCGGCGTGCCGGCAATCCCGTCAATGATCAGACGCTCCACCAAGGAAGTCATGGAGAACGAGTTCTGCGGTGGTGCCGCATTCTTAGCATCACCCTGAACTGAGCAATTCCTGGGTTGCCGAGCACCCGAAGAAAGCGTGAGCATGAGCAGGCACACGCATGTGCAAGGGCTGGTCACACCAAACGCCGTTTCGCACGGTTGACGGTTGGGATGACAGCTGAACTGAGGACCACTGCAACGCTTCAGTGACCGCCACAAGCACTTCTTGTTTAGCAGGGGCCATTTTTGGCCAGCTTACCTTTGGAGACTTGGCAAAGCGAGTGGGGTCATTCCATTTGGCACATGGTGTTGCGCTACCCCTTAATGGGGTGGATGCTTGCTTTGGTGCGTGCGTGTGTGGCTTTTGGCGCCTTCTGGGCCGCAATCTTGGAGTCTTGGTAGGCTGAACGGCCTGAAAAGCGCCATGGAGCATCTCTCGGTTGGGTCCTTCTCGCTTCAAAAGCCAAGCTGAAGATCCTTTCCTAGAAGCCGTGCGTGCTGGCAATTTTGCCTGTCAAGACCTTGCACGAGGCCCCTTCGAATAAAACTGTGATCGGTTTCATCATCAAGCTTCTGATTTTGTTGGAAGTGCAAGTTGGCAGTTGTGAAGGTTGTGAAAATAGAGAGGTGCCCTGAGCTGAGGATACGTTGGTGACTGGCTGGGCCGAGGGCCTGCGCTGCTTGCATATGTTCAGGTCAAGTCAACATGTTTCAATTGTCTGCATTCTGATGATTTTTGATGCATTATAGTTGCTCATGTCTCATTGTTTCCCACTGCATTATGTTGCCGCTGTGCGTACGCCTGGCTTTGCTGCGGTGTTCTGTGATCTTCACCGCTGTTGTTCTGCGTAGCTGCAAGCTCGATTAGTCGCGAAAGCTATCCTAGGCTAGCAGGAGTCCCGTCAGCGTTTGCAACCTTCAAGTTTTCCCTGTAGAGTGCGGCTGAGCCTTCCACACTTCCTCAATGCTTTTAGCTTTTGCCTCCCACACTTCTTCTTGCTTATTTGTTTGCTTTGCTCGCTGCTCTTCTTGCTGCACGCGCTCCCTTCCCCGGCTGTGCTTCTGTGCTCACATCCCTGCCACTTTTCCCCATGAGTATTCCACGCAACTTTTTCCGCGTGTTTGATTGCTCGTTTCTAGCTTTGTTGCCGCCCTGTTGCTGTTTGCGCTTCAAGATAGCGGAGTTTGAGCTGTTTTACTTTTGCGGTGCTGAGCGCTAGCGTTGTTTCTTGTGCACGGGAGCGCTTCGTAGGGCTGTGGCACGCATTCATGCTGTGCTTGGTAGCAGCGTGACTACCGGTGTTTCATTTACATAATTGAATCTGTTTCGGTGCACGGTGCAGCTGTCCTATTCTAACATGCGTATACAGAGAGATGTGCGTATGTTTGTGTGTGTGTGTCATCCTTAGGGAAAACAACCCGAACAGGTTGCCAGACTCGGCTTGACAGTGTGTTGCTTATGTCTTAGGCTTGTGTCTGGTCCCATGCGGCAATGCGGTTTGCGCAGAGTCTGAGGCTGCACTTGACGATGGTCATGTCCATAACCGGCGCTTTGGTCTCCGCTTTCGCCGTGCCATTGGATCCCAAGAATCCTGCATCGGCCACCTGGCCTCGGAGCTCAAGTTTTCATTTTCGTCGAGCGTTGGAACTTCTGGCCCGCGCAGCCTTTCGGAATGACAATGCGTTTATGGTTTCCTTGTGCCTGTTTGCATTTGGTCAGCCAGCCACTGTTGACGTGACGATGGAGATGTAAGCTCTGGCTGCTTCCAGTTGGCGATAGGGGGCTTTGAAAAGTTTATTTGCACAAGGACTACAGGGAGTTTAATGAATTGTTTGGGGCTATGTCAGAATGTGCAGATGCTGAATGGTGCCATTAAACAGCACCATGACGCCGCTCTTCCTGTTTGTACGCGTTCCCCCTCGAGTTTACAATCCGATCAAGGCAAAGTAGTTGCTTCGGAGTTGACGCAACATGCGGCTCGGCCAACCTTGGCAAGGTATTTATTTTTCTGTGCATTTCACGATTTATCCTCGGAGTCGGCGTTGGTGGAGTCTACCCCTTAGCGGCAACAGTCGCGGCAGAGGGCTCGGATAGCTCGAGCCTTGGATGCAGATCAGCCCGCTTTTTTTTCCCCTTGCAGCAGGCATGTTCTCGTTTTTGTAGCGTGTAGTTTTGCCAACGAACCCAGTGAAGAGTTGACGGTTATGCCTGGCAATCTGTGAATTCAGGCTTGACGTGGCTGAACAACACTTTGCTGGGTTGAAATTTACTGCGCCAATTCGTTTGATGTTGCTTGCCAGCTCTGCTTGATGAACCGAAACGGCCCCAACCCCGACCCCAACCCCAGCGTGTCCCCAAACAACTGTGGCAAAATGCCATTGCGCTTGCAAATGCTTTGGATGTTCGGCTTTCTTGAGCAGGGACCAGCTGCGTGGAAGCGAGTTGAAACTTTAGCGTGCAAGGAATTTGAGACTGACATGCACTTGTAGCAAAACATGCCACCCCACATCGGAGGTCCATTTCATATTCCGCTGATTTCATGAATGCCGTGATGAGTGTTGCTTCACCAATAATCAAACGTGCGATGCAGTAGTCCGGTCTATGACAGACCTGTAAGTTTCAGCTGCATTCTGTGAATTTCGGCCTTGCGAGGAGTCGAGGCCAATCTGTGGCGATGGTCTTCTCCATGCAGGGCGTAGGTCAGCTGATGGTACCTCTGGTGGGCATGGCCTGTCTCTACGCCTTTGGCCCCTCAGCGCAAGAAGCGAAAAGGGAGTGGTCGAGTGAGTCGAGTAACATCATTTTTTGGTTTCCAAAAGGACCCTGATTAATCGCGGCGAGGGGCCTTGCTGTTCATGGGGGGGTGCTGGCCTTCAAGGGGGGTCCCCTTTGTGAGCTTGAACACCTTGTCATTTTAAGCAACATGCAATAATAACATTAATAACACAACAATGCATTTTGGGTGAAGCAAAACTTTGGGGAAGAATTGAGGGTTCAACAGTGACTTAGTAGACTAAGCAAATACTGAGCAAACAGGACCACTTTTCTGGCAGGTTTGTTGGCTTGGTGGCTGCAGGGGGATACCTTTCATCCAGGGGGGTTTTGAGGAGGCCCGAAAATGTATTGGGTAGGGTGGGGCAAACCTTGTTGGCCTTTTACTTTAGTATTGGTGGGAATCTGAAACCTTCAATCGGGGGGGTTTACTAATCGCGCGCTGACATTACCCTCTCTCTCTCTCTCTGCCTCCCTCGGGAGTCCTCCAAAAAGTCCTTGCATTGAGATATGAATCGAAGGGGAAGGGCATTTAGTCTTGTGATGCTCTGCAAAAGCTGCGCGATGGAGGTCGCGAAAGTTGATTTGTTGCTCGCGAGGACAGCATTTCCCGCGACACGGGATTTCAGCCCACCGCCATGCGTAGGCTAGTCTAAGCAATACACAGTTTCGTATGTCCCCCTTGTCTTCAGTCACTCGCTCACGTCAGGGAGGCATGGGCTGTGGTAACAGATCCGGTCTGGATGTTGTTCAAGCAAGCCAGGCTCAGGTTTACCTCGAGCAAGGTGCCATGTTGTGCTTTTCCTCGCTTCACGACCCTAGCTCAACTAACATCGGGTGCCGAAGAACATCCGCCCCACGGCTCAAAGTTCCCCGGCCAATTTTGAGGGCCTTTGGTGAGTATGCACGTGTTTGTGAGGGGGTTATGCTCCAGCAAAGCCGGATCTTAATGTGTTCATCCGTGTTTGTTTGGCTGCAGGTGATGAGATGGACCGTGCTGAGGATAGGCGGGAGACCGACAATTATATGTTGACAAGTCACCCATTTGCGAAGGAGCGGCTTTGAGGGAGTCTTTGGTACACTTGATGCAAAGCAGGCATCCTGAATTGTTGCGTGCTTGACCAATCCTTCAGTACATGTCTCCGGCGCACCTGTTTAAACTCCCGCTCTCCGCCTTGCTTGTGCAGGCCAATCCCCGGATTGTCGTGGCGGCTGATTCTCGGTTTTGGGGCGCTGCCAGGCTGGGTGACAAACTGTTGAGTGGCTGCAAAGCTCTTGATAGTTTGTAGGCGCTCTGGTTTTTCACCAGAAGCTGTTTAAGGCAGACCGGCCCACCATAGTCAACTAAGCAAGTGAATGAATACATGTTCAGCTTTCACTTTTGCAAATTTGCCTTCCAGAAGCCTGAAGGTTATCGTGCCGTGCAAAACGGGTTCCCCCGGCAAAATGGATAGTCCCTAGCAAAAGGTGGTGTCTAAACCCAGGGGTGCGGGGACAGGGGGCTCGCTGATATCGCCCTGGCCTCGGCACGTGCAAGGCCTTTTGCTGATGCCGTTCCAGGAGAGGGCTCAGGACCAACCTCGTGAAGAGCGCGCCCAGCAACCAAGCCTGCTCGAGGCAAGGGGTCAGAAAAAATATATATATATATATATGTATTTATATGTGTATATATATATATATATTTGGCTGGCATTGCTGGCCGGCGTTGTTTTTAGCAACTTGGTTCATCTTTTACCTGAGTTCGCTGGTTCTAAAAGATTGCGCAATAGCAACAAATTTGGAGTAAGTGCGAAAAGCACGCTCTCGGTGGAACTTTGCTCATGACAGGCACTGCGCAACCGCGCTTACTGGCGAAGTATCGTGGGCTGTGCCGGCGGCTGGTTTCTTTTTGACATCACGTTCTATGGAAATTCACTGTGCCTGGTCCGAGCTTAGTTTGGGGCTTGCCATGCTCAGGGCAGCGCAAGGAGGGCTGTTATCGGATGGGGCTGTGCATTGGAGTTTACAGGAATTGCTGTTGGCAGGTTTGGGTTTGAAGATGTTTGAAGCACTTGCCTTGTCGGCACAAAGTTCATCGAATATGCCTATGCTCAGCCAAAACATGGGCCACCTGCAAAGCTGCGACGCCTTTCTCCAGCCTTTCTCCAGCCTTTCTGAGGTTTTCACCATCCGTTCTGCACAGTGTGTTCCACGCGGGCACGGGAGAGACGCCGGTCATTGGAGATTCGATTAAGAACAACTTGTGCTGGCAGCTGACCATTCTGGCTCTTTTGGGCCTCCCCGGCTACTACGTGGCGGTGTGCTATATGGATAAACTGGGCCGGAAAGTTATTCAAATCCAGGGCTTTGCGATGATGGCTTTGTCACTTGGTTCCTGCTTTCCAGTTTTGTACATGTGCTGCACTGCCGAAAACCAGGAGCGACTTAGAGATGTTTGGGCGGCGTATGTCCTTGGTTGAAGGAAAGGTTGTCAAGCTACCAGTTGTTTTAGATATACTATATATGGGCTTGGTGTTCTGCATGGACTTCCGCTGCGGGGAGCTTGCCAGCCTGAGGCTGTACTTGGGCTTGGCACTGTTTCTGGACAAGATGGAGGAACTCCCAGCATTACTACTTTTTGTTTATGGCTTGACGCAACTCGTCTTAGTAGCTGTTGCCTCAGGCACCCATATCAAGGAAGAGGTGGGAGATATCCCCCATCGCTGACAAATCTTTGTCCGGCTGCTTTTAAATGATTGGGATGTTGGATTTGCCGGCTGCCGGGATCCAGAGAGTCACTCTGCAGGTATTTCTTTAGCAACTTTGGCCCGAACAGCACCACCTTCATTCTGCCATCCGAATCCTTCCCCCGGGAAGTGCGCTCCACGCTGCTTGGCGGCCCTTTGCAAAGGGGTAGGATGGGGCGGACCCAACTCGCCGGTTGACTGAGTGCAGACGAGAGACAGCCACTTTATAGCTCAGGCTAAATGGATTCTGCGCCGCAAGCGGAAAGATGGGAGCTGTTGTGGGCTCGGCGCTCTTCAAGCCGCTCATTCTGGTGGCCCGTCAGTTCAGACTGGCCTAATCGGGCATATCATGCCAGTTGCGGTAGTAGCTGTAGCTGGCAAGATTCTACTCATCCCGAGGCATTTGGCACCAGCTTCGTTTTCCTTTGCTGCGCTGTTTGCGCGGTGCTGGGCATCATCATCACCACCTTTTGCGTGGAAGACAGGCACGGGGCCCGTTTGGGACAGTGGGCTCGGAGGAACGCTTGAGAGCTGTAATGTTCAGCGCACCATGGTTTCCATGCTGTTGCTCCCCCCCGCCTTCGGCCAATCATTTTCGGCTGTGGCAGTGTGGGCTGAATCCATACCACCACTTGTTCTGGTTGCTTTCATCACGGTTGGCCAGGCGTGGGCAGCAGATGATGGGAGAAGGCACGGCCGAGTGTTTGGCAAGTGCACGCTTCTCGGCGCACAATTTTGCCCTGGACTGGGCAATTGGGCCAGGAAGGGGCTATAAATGAAGAGCAAAGCTCTGAATTTGAGCACGGAATTTTGAGAACGATGTCTAGATATCACTCCGATAGGCCACCTGCAGAACCTGGCCAGGGCATTTCTGGGCTTCAGATACCAAGGGTCCGGTTTCGAACGCTCCCAGGTCATGACGTCGACCTGGGAGTGGCACCTGGCCTGCAAAGATGTGAAGATACGCTGATTCTCACTGCTCAGTTCTTTGCCTCGCTTGTTTGGGGGTAGTGCCGCAACATGAGTGCGAGATGAAGTTTCTGGGGCACATTGTCTTTGAGTTGTTACTTGCTTGATTCACAACATTTCTTCAATCAGGGTGAAAAGGCTTTTTGGGGGGGAGTAAGTCAACGCACAGCAAGCTTGGAGCTCTCCGGGTCACAGATGCCCATGCTTGATAGCACACTTTGGAAACCCTCCAAGGTGGCCTGCTTGGTTTAGTGTATGGGAAAAGGCATGTTGCCACTGGGAGTGTGGTTGCCTGGTTATCCACCTGCGGACGTCACCCACCCCTGAATGTAAATCCGCACTAGGTTCTAGAAACTACGCCGGTTTGAAACCCTACAAAACCTATACCGAACGTTTGACCTAGCCCTATTGGCAGCTAGAGCTGGTCTTTTTTTGAGATGACGCACTGCTTGGTGAAGCCAGGCAGAGTTGTTCATCACGACCAAGATAACAGGATGAGATTGATCTCTTCACTCCCACTCTCTCCACTCCCAACGCCCAGCCATGACAAGCCTTCTCTTTGCATGTGGTGAAGATTGAGGGGCCCCATGAAAACGCTTCGAAATCAAACACGGTCTCTGGCGCCCAATGGCCTGCATTGAGCCCCCATCCACTGGGCTTCGTGCCTTTGAAAGAAAGCAACCTTCTGGGAAGATGGCGACATGTGCAGTTGACGTTGGAAGGTATCTTGCATCATGAAAGCATCATCCGCCAGGAGTCAACGCAGGCTTCGCAAAGTAGCTGCTAATTCCTTGCATGATTCGGTACTGGTAGCGCGCTTTGCCGGTTTGCTCAGCCTTTTGAAAGCCTTCCAAGGGGAATGGTGGCAAGCATATGCTAGATTGGCTTATCAAGGTCTTTGACTTCCTTGTGAACATTCTAGCTGTGAAAGGCTCGTCAACATCACGCATTCTTCCCAGTTCCTCATTTGTGCACCTGAAGGGCGAGGTGAGGAGAGTTGATTGGTCTTAGCAAGCGGGGCCTTGGCCGAGCAGTCAGTCGCCTGCACCTGTCAGAAAATGGCAGTGTGGGCACCTAGCAGCTTTTCCATGGCTGAGGCCTGACGCGGACCCATCTGCCCAGAGCGGTCATAGCGTTATGGTTAGCTCCAAAAACTGGGTCTTGACAGGGGTTCAGCTTATGCCAGAAAGCTCAGCTAAGCCGATCAGCCGTGGGCCCGTCCTAGCATCACTTTTGCGATGTTAATGGCAAGCAGCCGTTAGCAAAGGTTGCAAGTGAGTGCCTCGCCTTCTGTGAAGCACGGCCCCCTTTGCATGTTACTGGGTGCATGTCTGACTAGAGTGACAGACGCCGCATTTGGCAAGTATCGTTGAGCAGGTGGTGAGCACGGCAGGGCAGCGGGGGTTCACTGGTGCTTTCACGTGCTCACGGATTCACATGTTGCCTCGCGCAGCCATTTCGGCGCAGCCATATCGCAAGTTTGAAACACCTTTGCGCGCAGCAATCATGTTGCCCATCAGGCCCTCCATACTGGCCGCGCTGCTGTGGCAGTGCTTGGCCGTTTCCAGCATCGAGACCCACCGCAGGCAAGCTTCCCCAGTTCAGGCCGTCGTCGAGGGCGACGCCAGCGTGGAGTTTGAGAAGCCGCTCTCGAGCGAGCCGCCAGGCTGCATGAGGCAAAAGTTTTTGAGGCGAACCTGATGTCCGGATTTTGGTTTTCACGTGTGACTTGTTTGCCAGAACTGCCAGCTCAGGCCAGTGCAGCCAAAGCATGCACATACAAGCCATGCCAAGCACCACAAGCACCACCATCACAAGCATCACAAGAGCCACAAGATCTCAGACCTGCCGAAGGAGGAGTCGACGAAGGACGGGAATTGGTTGCGTTGACTGTGCTTTCGATGCATGCGACAGTTTCGCGCTTTTTAACCACCGCTTCAAAGAACTCGTCGCTACAAGGTGACAAGCTGAAATCTTTGACCGTCTTGCAGGAGCTCCATGCCAAAGACAAGGTCAAGCCCGGCATGCTGATGCGCTCAGAGCCTGCCATGGCAGGGGGAGGGGTCGAGGCTGCGGAATCCGCGGCGTCCGATATGGACTCCGACTCCATGGACACTGAGTCAAAGGCTTCGCAGAAGGTTCAAGGACTGGCTGGATAGCATGCGATAGGGAACATGAGCTCACCTGTTTCAATGGGCCCTCACCGAAGGAACGGAAGAACAAGCTGCAGAGTCAGGCGCTGAAGTCGCGGATCAGGCAGCCGACCAGGAAATGACCGGCCAAGGCGCTGAGCAGGAAAGCAGCCTTGAAACTGGGACCGAAAGCGAGGATATGCAGCTGAACATGGGCGGTGCACAAGCCTGCGTGGGGACGTTGCTTGAGAAGTGCCCCACTGACAAGACAGATGCGTGCAAGACACAGGACGCAGGCACTTGCGTCAATGTTTTCCACAAGTGCACATCCGACAAGATGGTCCAATGTGCAGCTTGGCGGGCGCTTGAGCTGCTTTGTCTTGCGGTGTTATGTACTTTTTACTTTGCCAGGAACTTGGCAAATCACAAATGTAAGGCTGTGAGAAAGGGCAAGTGCGCCTCTGGTGGCGCCACGTGCTACCTGCCCTGCACCGGCGTAGAGCTTCATGGCTCCTCTTGCGCAGCGCAGCCGGTGGATAACTGCAATGGCGGCTACATCACGGACGGATCCTCTGGGATGTCGTGCATGGTTTCGACACAGGCGCCACGGCAAGCAGCGGTTCGGTGTGCGTGTGGGTGTTTTACAAGGGGCCTGGACTTTGGCCTGGGCCCAGCAGTTGACATGCCAAGAAACCATGTTGTTTCGTATGCTTGGGGTATCGTGCCAGTGGTTAGGCAGATGCTTACTTTTCTACAACTAACACGGCTCAAGCCAAAACATCGGAACTGGGATTGTTGAATGGTTGTGGCCAAGAGCTCGACTTAGATAGGGCTTCTGAGCATCTAGCTTGATGCCTGCCTTCGTTGTTTGTGATGGCAAAGTTGGGCCAAGGACATCTCAAAGTGCGCGTGCCTTCGCTGCACAAGGTCATGTTATTTGTAAACCCTTGCTTGCTTTTGAAACGAGCGCGAAGCGCATCGCTGCTCGGATTCCACGTGTGTGTGTGTTGCATATGTTGTATACATCACATGGCAGAGATATTGTGGAGATGTGATGTGTCGTGCGTGCAGTTCTGTGAGGAATGCTGGCACCTGCGCACTGGCCAAATCCTGAAGCTTGACGCAGCGCAGACTTACATCACTCGCCAGAAGCAAAGAGGAAAACTGGGTTCAGCCGCACAACAGGCTTGCAGCGCCCTATCCGGCCAATTCGGTATGTCACGGGACACTTCTCATTTGTACCGAGGATTTGAGCCATTCCAGGCTGAGTCGTGGTGCCGCAAGGCATTCGCATTGTAAGAGACGACTCTCGGTTGAAAGTATGAGATGCTGACTGTTTTGCACATGGAACAGGTGGTAGTGGGTATGAAAGTCAGCGTCAGGGCTTTGCCATGCTTGAAAGAGCAACATGCTCAGGCCCTTCGAGCGACTGCTGATTTGACTTACCAGTTGCTAGATCGATTGCTTTGAAGGTTGGCTGCTTGGATGATGTCGTGATTCTCTGGCTTGGTCAAGGAACCAGTGGACTGACTGCCTAAGGATCTTCTAGGGTCCTTCTTCCAAAAGAGAAGGAACTTGACACCGTTTCTCGCTGCTAAGTTGGTTCACTACTTTAGTTGATGCCTAGCCTAGAAACATCCACCTTTTGCAGGCCAGTCAATTCAGCAGGTCAGCTTGCTCCAAAGAGCAAGTGAAACATGCAGGTGGGACGAGGCGCCAATTGAGATTAATTGCTTGCGGTGGGCATGTTGGTCACAAAATGCTGTTTTGGAAGGGCTCATTCTGAGCTTCGCATTCAGTCGAAGAAGTTCTAAACTAGGCCGCGCTTTGGTTCGCAATTAGAAGGTCTTTCAGCAGGCGAATTGGATACAGTCAGCATAACGGCAGCGTCGTCGGAAGCACTCTTGAGTTCACCGTTGCTGTTCTATGCGCGCCTCAGCTTAGAGGGACTGGCCCTGTTGGCCACATGTCATGCATAGTTCTAATGTCCACCCCACCAAGGTGCAGCCATCCACGCATTGATCACACAACAATACAGCTGCTAAGGCTGCATGCAACCTGCAACGAAACAACTGCAAACTTCAGGCTGGCTGTTTCGCCGGCAAGCCACTCTTTTTTGGTGGTGCTGGCATGGGCCTCCGGCCGGGTGCCATGGCCAAAGAAAGCGCTGCATGGATGTGTCAGTGCCGTGTCACGCACAATTATTTTCTACGGAGGGCCAACATGCACTTCATCTACTCCGGGGATGATGCTGCGTTTCTGGAGGAGCACCGAGAAGAGCTGAAGCTCCTCGGCTGCTCAGAGGAAGAAGTGCTGAAAGAGCTTCGAAGGCAGCGCCAGGAGAGGCTTAAAGCTCCGGAGGAAACACTGGTGCGATTCGAACGGATCCAGAAGGAGTATCAAAAGCTGCATCCGGCAGTCTACAAATTGGACACGTCCTTCTTGCATCCAGATTTCTGCGAGTTAGTGGCAGAGCTGCGCAAGCCGCACTCCGCCTCTGCCATAGCCAGCTTCAAGTCACGGAAGCTTTTGGAGGAACTTCGACCAGGCCTGTGGACGTTCCCAGTGTTCAGTGAGGCGTTCTGTGATCTTATTGAAGCAGAGCTGAGCAATTTCAACGCCTCGGGCTTACCCCGAACCGCACCAAATACCATGAACCGCTTCGGGGTGATCATGTCCGAGCTGGGCTTTTGCGAGGGCCTTTTGGACCCGCTGGTCTTCGAGTATGTCAATGTAATGGCAGGTCGCTTGTTGTCCGCGTTCTGTGAGACCCTCGACTCCTACCGTGCCTTCACGGTGCTGTACGAGGCGAAGGAGGCAAGTGACAAGGAGTTGGCCACGCACTACGACAATGCTGAGGTGACCCTGAACATCAACATTGGTGGCACCTGGCAGGGCGGCAACGTGGTTTTTTACGGCTTGGCCACTGCTAACGAGCGGCCGCCCACGGAAGTGGTCCTACGGCGGGGCCATGGAGTCTTCCATGCGGGGTTGGAGCTTCATCGAGCCACCCCCATCTCGCAGGGGCGCCGACACAACCTCATCCTTTGGTGCCGGTCCAGCGGCATTCGGAACGACCTGTGCCCCATGTGCTTCCGCCAGCCCAGCGTGGTGCCCACCAACACGTTCCACCACGAGGGCTTCACCGTCCCACCTTGTGAGACGGGCGATTTGGTGCGGGACATGTCCACTGACGACATCTACGACTGAGGCAAAAGGTCACCGGCCTGAGACGGGTGTAGCCGGACTGGTGGGCTGGCTGGGGCAGACTTGCCACGATGTGTACAGGCATGTACAGGCACTTTTCAGCACATTTCAGGGATCTCTGGATCAGCCCTTTGAAAGGTCCAGCAAACCATGGGTGCATGCTTGAGTTTGTGATGGCCATTCCCTCTTAGAGACTGCGTGGTGATTAATGTAGTTATGGCAACAGGTATAGTTTGGTATGGACTTTTGGTGATAGGGATGTGGAGAGATCCAAGGAGCTCAATGCAGCCGCTTGTTCACAACCAGAGCCAGCCAGGCCTGACGCCGGGAATGCATCCGAACCGGCCGAGGAGTCGCACATGCTGCGGATTGCTTCCGGGAAGGTTTGGGGACATAGCTGAAGCTGTGAACATGTCGATGTCATTGGCCCCGGCTTGCCATGTTTCTTTTCTCCAGGCATCTGAATTGGACTTAGTTTTGAATTGAGGACTTAGCTGGAAAGGGAAAGGTTGTTGCCCACAGCCAGCATCTTGCAGGGTCAGAGCTTCTGCCTGAATCGCCGCTTTCCTGCTTGCAAGCACGGAGAGCCGTGGAGGCTCCAAAGAGGCCGTGATTTCCGGCGCTTGGACATCGCAGCTTTTTGGCTTCAGCTGCGCTGGTAGCCATGACCTTCAGGCCCTTCATGTCTTTGCTCCTGGCCCTGGCTTGGGTGGCTTCGGACGCGCGGAGCCTCCAGATCGACTCGGCAGGGTCGCTGGCCCGGGGGCCCAGAGCTGATTTCGGCCAAGCGGTGTGCCGCTGTTCACTCACAGTGGCTTCAAACTTGAGGCCAAGAAAAAAGAAGTCTGCATGTGACCTGAAGTTCTGAAGTCCATTCTGGTTTGGACATCTTGTGTCGTTGCATGTTGGAGAATTTGCCGTACTGCTTGCATTGCTTTCCCCTTCTTTGGCCAGAAGCAGCTTGTCAGCCCAAAGGAGAAGTCTGTTTTATTATAGCTGGCTGCTTGATAGAACGCCGCCGGAACGATCTGGAAAGCCTTTGCTCTTGGTATTGGGGCGGTGCGAGATGGATCAGCTTAATGATTCGTTACTTACAGCTTGCCCATAGAAGTTCCCGGAAGGAAGGTGCTGAGGCGTTCAGGGTAGGTATGCAAGCGGAAAACTGGGAGCAACAGTGTGAAAGGATGCCATGTTTTTTCTGATAGCGACAGCCTGGGCCAAGGCTGAGGTGTCCGAGCACCAACCGCAGCTTGGCACAGCTTTGGAACTCTCCTGTTCTGTCGAGTCTGATTGCATTCCGTTGGAACGCGCGGAATTCCAACCTGCACTTGTTTTTACTCATTTTACAGCCAACGGCTTTGCTGCTGCTTGCCTGCGACATGGCATACAAAAGGCATCAGGCTCATTTGCCAGGAGACCTCGACGCTCAGCCCTTGTTCGGTCTGAGCAATCCTTGAGCGATGTGACGCACACTGGAGAAGAACAAGCAGCAGCAGAGGATGCCGAGAGAGTGTACATGGCCCAAAATGCATCTCAACCCCCTCCCCCCCCCCACCAAACAAGTATTTAGCAACCGTCCGGGCGCACTTGCTAGCTTCAAGTTTCAGAGACCTGCGGAAGTTGTGCCCGCAGCAGCCAAAAGCTGGACCAAAGCATTGTAGCGTTGCCCGCTGGAAGGATTCTTCCGAAGCTCAGCAGCAAGTGGACGCAGCCCAAGAAGAAGCCTCAGCAGCGGCGGAGGAAGCAAACGCGGAGTATCGCTTTAGGGAGAACTTGCAAAGCGACGAGCTGGCGGACAAGAAGAAGAAGAGAAAGAAGGCGCGCGCCAACAAGTGTGCTGCTTGGCTGGATAGTCAGTTTCTCATGCTATTGTTTCCCAGGCCCAGCTTGACATGTCAGGTCGTGTGTCAACGTAAGGTTGGCACCCTAATTGCAAAATGCCCACAAGACGGGGCAGATCCTTGCAAGACGAAAGATGCGGGAAACTGCGTCAGCGTCTTCCACTCCTGCAAGGATGACGTTCTAAAGCAGTGTGGTGTGGACAAGCAGCTCGATTGAATTTTAACAGATGAGAGTTCACGCCCAAAGCAAAAGATGCAACTTGTAAGCTACAGACTATGGTGCAGGCTTTTTAGATCGGCACCGAGGCATGGCAAGTGCGCCAGCGGTGGTACCACTTGCTACCTCGAATGTTCAGGCCAAGAGCTCTTTGGAGAGAAATGCGAGTCCCAGCCAGAGGGCAAGTGCAATGGGGGCTTTGCAACTTGACAGCAGGCAAAGCTGAACAGACTTAACATACTGAACATGTGCTTGCTCTGCAGAATGTCATGCTGACTGTAGATGTGTTGTTTGCCTTGCCTTCAGGTCAGCGATGGAATGTCCGGGATGTCTTGCATGGTGTCCCCGATGGATGCTACACAATGCATTGATGCAGGCACCTGTGCTTTGCCCCAGGAGTGATTTAATGCAACAATTTGGAGAGAGAGCGAATTGAAGCAGTTTGACTGAAGCTGAAAAGAACGTGCTGCCCGAGCTTGGCTGCTGTGCAGCCAGCAGGCTGTGCCGTCAAGAAGGGATGGAATGGATGGACATTAAATATGAACCGAACCCTTGGTCTCGCACTGGGAGCAAGTAGCGACTATATAAAGACACAGTGGATCACAGTGGGGCACGCTACCATTCCCAGCTTTGCAGACTGGTTTCTGCACTAGGCATAGAACAAAGCCAGTTTTGTTTTGTTCACATTGTTCGCTTGATTTTGCTGGGTTTCGAGTGAACCAAGCATGCGAGCTAGTTGCTTGTCACTGTTTGGCGAGAGTTCCGCGAAAGTTTTGCATGTACTTGCTTTGCTGCCGACTTCAATGGTTCGCGTGCCACTTCTGCTGAAGTTCAGCAGGAGGAGCCAATGTCCACGTCGAGTACTACACATATGCTGAACAGCTGTGAACATTCAAAGGCATATTAATTTAAATATATGCGTATAAGTGTATATATAATAGGCATAGTACATGTAGATTTTAGGTTTTGTGATGTGTTGTTTGCTTGTCCGTTCATGTGTTTGTTTGCTTGTGTGTTTGTGTGTTTGATTGATTGATTGTTTGTTTGCTTGAAATATGTGCGTGCGTTTTTTTTTTGGGGGGGGTGTTTGGTAGCACCTTGCTTTGGCTGAGCATTTGGCTGTTTGGCTGCTTGGTTGGCCGGTTGTGTGTTGTTTGTTTAACATTATTTGCTTGTGTTTGTTTGGTTGCTTGTGTTCTTGCTCGTTTCTTTGTTTGTTTGGTTGCTTGGTTTTGTTTTTTGGTTGGCTGTCTGTTTTGTTGTTTGCTAGGTTCGTTGTTTGTTTGCGTGCTCGTCCGTTTGTTTGTGTATTTGTTTGTTTCTGCGTCAGTTTGTGTGTTTGCAAGCAAGCGGGGCTCCAAACAGGCTTGGATGTTCCGGCTCGAGGCGGAGAAGTAGCTAAGACGCCCGCATTCTGAACCAGGGCTTTCGCATTTAGCCGGTGCCCATTGAGGGCGGCTCATGGGCAAAAGGAAGGCAGGTGAAACAATCCGGCACTGTGCTTGTCAAGTTGCAGTGTAATTCTTCCACTTCTCTTCCATTGCCTCTGCGTTTTCTTCCATTGCCTCTGCGTCGCGGCCATGGGAGGCTGTGGTCATGGAGCACGTTGAGTCCCCTCTCGCTGTGCGGTGCTCAAACGCTCCAAGCACATGAGCTGCACCAACCTCTCCAGTCGGGTGTGAGAATTTGGTGCTTGCGGCCAAGAAGAAGCCCGCCAAGCCAAAGGCGCTGGTGGCAGGCTCCTTACTTGTTCCTGTATGGTCCAACGGCACGCTGTTTGCGGGCCAGACGTGAATGCTCTATGCAGGCCTTATGCCAAGATGTGCCCACCATGTTGTCATGACTTGCATGTTGCCGGATGGCTTCTTTCTTCACCAGGCGCATTTAGAGCTCCGACTTGGTGACTGCAACAAGGAGCTGCTGGAGCATCAGGAGGGTGGCGGGGTCCATGGAAGAGCTATGCCGCTGGATGGTGTTTGCCTTCATTTCTTTTAGGTCGTTGGGATGAATGCATGATAGAAGCCCTCGGGCTATGAAGCAAAGCTAAACTAGCATATTCGACGGCTGGCTAGGCGACCTGCAAAGGGGAGCCTCGCTAGCGCGACATCTCACGGGGCGCCCTCGCACCCGAATAATTAATGCACTGAATTTCCTTAGCCTGGACAGGCGGCGACACGGCAGATTCAGGAGGCAATGGGGAGAGGTCACTGCTTGCCAGATCTCATCGGCTTCCATGCGGGTGGACGAACATAGCCCGGCTTGACAATGACCTGCGTTAAGCTGTTGCAAGCAAATGCCAAGCAGTCTTGTCCCGGTGGTTTTACAGGTTTGCGCGCATGTTGTTGAACAAGTTTGAGCCCACAACCATGGCTGGAGCGACCCGTGAAATTCATCAATGTGTTTGCATCGCAGGTTTATGGCAGTGCAAGGAGGCAGACGACTGGGCCTGAGTCATTGCCAGACTGCTGCGCATTCATATGCGACGGCGGGACATTGAAGAGATAGCAGGCAAGCATTACATGCGCCCTGAGTGCTTAGCACTCAATGGTTTCGCACAGCTGCAGCGCTACTTCTAAACGAAGCATTGAGAAAGATAGAACGCATCCCGGACAACAAGGCGCTTCCTGACGTTAAATCAAGTTTGCAGCCGCCATGCTACAGCTGAGGAATGTGCTGCTCGCCGCAGGGAGCTCAAATACTGTACTTGGAGCTACTTCTCGGCTGTGCCAATGCCACTCACGAGCACGGCACCCGCTAGCAACCAAGTGTTTGCAATTTGTCATGTCATTGTGAATTGAACTGCGTGCGAGGTTGGCTCTACCGCTTGTTCAAACATGTGTTTGAACAACACTTGTTTCAGCAACGTCCGCTTTGGTTTGCTATTTTTGGCTTCCGCTGCCTCTCTCTCCCTCTCTCTCTCTCTCTCTCTCGTTTTCTCGCTCTTGTTCTCTTTCTCTTTTATCCTTTTCCTTTTTATCGTTTCCGTGACCTGCCTCATGGCTGCGCGTAGCGGCAGCAGCTTTGCTAGATTCATTTGACGGCAAGTCTTGCCTTTAAGCGCAAATCTCAGGCGCTTCTGGCAGGAGACGAGGGCACTGCGGCCAAAACTCTGCAGATCTAGCCTTAGAGCAAATAAGGCGAAGCCTAGGGCATGGTCGCATAGAAGACAACTACAGGCACATAGAGCCGAGAGAGGGAGGGAGGGAAGGAAGGGGAGAGAGAGGGGTTGGGCTTCAGCATCTCCCCACATTTTCTTTGGAAGGGTTGTTTGGCAGCGGCATGTTCAATGCTCGTGCATGGTCTAGTTTTATGTCGCATCATTCGAGCACCCTCCCTGGACGGGGATGCTCGAGCGAAACACAAAAACCAGCTTGGAGCAGAACTGAGCATGCGTTGCTGGCCACGCTGTTGCTTGATTTTGGCTAGAGGAGGGTAGTTTTCCGTCTTTCCGCTGCAGAAGGCATGGTCCAAAACTAAGTAAGCAAACAGATCCTGCAGATTTGCCTAATTATGCCGCAGCCCGACTGCAAGCAACACGCCTGAAGTGAGCAAGCTGCCATGGGACTCCGTGGAAGACGGGGTGGCCAGTGCCAGAGCTGCGGCTTCGGCAGGCAACGCGTGCTATGGGCCCAGAGTGTCGACAGCCTCGTTTTGGAGGACCCCCGGCGTGTGGGGATGCGGCACCGGCCGCTGAGCAGGTACGAGGACACCATGAAATCGGCTGCGCGGCGGAGTGTGATTCCAGGCTGTGCCAGCGTTGTGCTCAAGCACGGCAAGGTGATACAAGCCTCAGCTTTCGGGAAGGCAGACTTGGAAGCCAACAGGTCGTTTCGGCTGGATACCATTTGTCGGGTTTTTTGCCTTACCAAGTCCTTCGCAACTAGGATGCATGAAGTAGCTTTTGCGGATTCACACTTTTCTGAGGCTTGCTTTCTTAAGCATGGAGCCCGACCGACTGCCAGCTGTTTTTGTCAGGTGACCGTGGCTTTCATGATGCTCGTGGAGGAGGGCCGCGTGAGATTGGAAGATCCAGTAGCCAAGTTCTTGCCAGCTTTTGCATCGGTCCAGGCATGGTCTAGGAAACTGTTGGCTAACCCACCCAAAGCGCAGTAATTTGCTTCGCTCTGACCACGTGCATTTTCTTTCTGCCCGGAAAATGAAGGGCAGCCCTAAGAAGGCCCTCACCTCTCTGTGACTAGAGACCCCCTTGAATTTTACGAACTTGCCGTGTGTGAAGTTGCATGTGCACAAGCTGGCAAGATTGGTGTGTCATACTTCCAGCAATGACCAAGGGAGCTGATTTGGAGGGTCATCTCTTCGACATTTGGCCCCTGAGGTGGTTGCCGCACGCTGCAGTGAGGAGACCAAACCATCCCTCTTGTGCAAGCCCAAGCGCGCCATGCGCATGAATCACTTGCGCCCTGGCACCCAGAGACAGGTTCTTGGATGTGTTAACGTTTCAACCTTGGACACTCCCACCGTTGAGGGAGAAAGGACACCAAGGACATGGCTTCTGAACGTTGAGACTGTTTTTAAAATGCCATAATACGAGTCCCGATCCGGACTCCCGGGTCGGGCTCGTGATTCGTGTGATTCGCGCTTGTTTTGTGATTCGTGACTTGTGATTCGTGATTCGTGATTTGCAATTCGTGACCGAGGATCAACGTCTCGTGATTCGTGTAATCCGCGCTCGCTTTGTGATTCGTGATTCGTGACCGGCGATCAGCGCCTCGTGGTTCGTGTGCCGTGTGATTCGCGCTCGCTTTGTGATTCGTGATTCGTGATTCGTGATTCGTAACAGTGCCGCTAAAATCAAGAAGAACAGACTTGCCAGAGCTATGCTAGGTGAAGCACGAATCACAAAATCGCCAATCTCGAGTCACGAATCACGAGCCGGTGGTCCCCCGTCTCGAATCACGAATCTCGAATCCCGGATTTCGAGCCGGTGATCCTCGCTTTGAGTCACGAACTACGAATCTTTCGCGGGCAAAGCTAAATAAATAGAACTGGGGGACTTTCACTTTGAGCAGGGGGACCTTACCTTTTAAAGCAGGGGGAACGCGAGCACATAACATCGGAATGATTCTTTCGCTTTGAATGCTGATTCCTAATTCGTGATTCGTGATTCATGCTGGCCCATGGTGTGCCCGAATTTCCTCCTGCGTGATTCGTGATTCGGGATTCGTGATCCGTGATTCGTGACCACGTATCACCTCAGCCAAGTCCACCTCCGGATCACGTCTCCATAATAGATACTTAATCCTTGCGTTAGTAAGACAATGCTTGCCTTCGCAAAGGAATGTCCAGTAAGCATGACCAGCCATGTGTTGAACTGGCTGCACAAAAGCCTAGGCTGACCCACACCTCTGGTCTGTCATATGGTGCGGGATTTGGAGAACAACCTGGGGATGCCACTGAAGAGGCTTATAGCAAGCTTGTCAGCGCGATCGATCGTGGCAGCGTGCGGAGCTTGGAAGACTTCACCAACCGACTGGCAAAAATCCCCTTGCGATTTCATCCAGGGGATGCTTATGCCTACGGATTCTCCACCGACGTGCTTGGCCGCGTCATTGAGGTCATTACAGGGCAGTGCTTGGCAGACGTTCTCGATGAGCGCTTGTTCAAGCCACTCCACATGCACGATACTGGATTCTCAGTTCCTGAAGCAAAACTGCCACGGCTTGCAGCCTGCTATGGGAATGCCAGCACCTGGGGTAGGCAGAAGACTTGACGAACTCAGGGCATGTGCTGAGCTAGGCGGCATTCCCCCTGGTAATCCCTTTGCTGATGTTGCATATGTCCCTCAAAAGAATCTCTGATGGGGACATATTTCTCAATGGGGTCGCAGGGTGTTGATGGATTTCCACCTTGGTCGCTGCCTGCGCCGGTGTCACATCAGGAAAGCTATGATGTCTTTCATTGCCTTTTCTTCTTCTTTGAAACTCGAAACTAGAAGGCAGTAGGTAAAACTCCCTGTTTGCAACCAAAACTGTTATTGATGCCCTTTGCTTGCGCAACCATTATCCACATCGCTGCTTCTGGTTCCGTTTCTTGCCGCCTTCTAACAAAGCCATCCTAACAAAGCCACGCGGAGAAACATGGGAAAACTTGCTTCATACCTAGTCAGCAAACTATTAAGTAGGTTATGCAGTGACCCTGCTTGATTACAGCATAATTGATTGGGTGAGTAACTGGGTGGCTCACCGGCTGATTAGTTGCTGCCTGGCTAGCTCACCGGCTGATGGGCGCATCAGAACATTCTAGATAGCCCAGTACTGAATGAACGAGCTAGCTAGTTAGATGCAGGCGAACTAATCAAGTCACTATCAGGCTGTCTCACTAGTTGAGCAATCAAGCTGCCAAACTAGGTAAGTAGTCTCGTATCTTGATAAACGACCAGCTGCCTAACCAGCTAACTAGCTAAGTAATCAGCTAGCTTGTGAGTCCAACTCGGTAACTCGCAAGCTAGCTAACCAACTAGCCAACTACTTCGTTGAGCAACCAGCCAGCTAGCCAGTTAGCTGGCAAGCAAACTAACAAACAAACTAACTAACTAACCAACTAAGTACCTAGACAACAAAGCAAGGACTTGGCTCACACTCTCAAATGCCCTAGCCAGCTGCTGATTGCGGCTTGGTGAACTAGCAACTGGCTAGCCAGCTTGCCAAGTGGCAGGAGCGCACTTTATCATATCGGAAGTCAGCATTGACTTACGTGCAGTTCACCCGAAGGCTTTTCGGCCCGGACTTGGGGTTCGCGAGAGCATTCTGGCAGGCATGATGAGAACATGTTTGCGTGTAGGCAGAAAGTGTTCGCATCTATACTTGTTTGGTCTTATATGTAAGTATTATGCATGTATAAGTATATACATATATATATATACATATATATATATACACACATGTGTTTCTACGTATTTCGTGACTGGCTTGAGTGCAGGCTCTACGGGGACTTGGACCTGACGCCGCGGGCTACTCGGCCGGGCCTAGTTCGCCTGGATGGGCTATCTTCTCAGGACAGCGCCTGGCGCCAAGGCGCGGCACGAAAGTCGGTGCAGTTGAAAGTCATTTTGGTGATGAAATACTTGAGAGTCATTTTGGTTGTGAACTTGCCATCTTGCGGCTCTGTGAGAGCCATCCGGTCGTCTTGCAAGAACGCATTCCTTGCCCGCCTGCCAGGCCAGGAGTGCAAGATCCAGTCGGGCGGTGGCATCATGGGCCACATGCAAGGAGGTTTGGTCAGCACCGTGGCTGACACCTCGCGCTTTGTGCGCATGCTGCTGCGAAAAGGGCTGAGCTGGGATGGCAAAAGGCTGCTGAAGGACAGAGTTCATTGGAGTGCCAGCTGTCAGCCGAGCTTGGGTTTTTTGCCCATGATTGTTTGGTTGTTTTGCTTTTTGACTGCCAACAAGCCAACCTGGTTTGAGACAACCAGCGAAGATTCATGACAGCCCAGCTGCCACATTCGCGTCCTCTCCCCTTAGGAAGCGACCATTGACGCCATGGAGAGGCCGCGCAAAGACTCGGGCCTGGCCCAAGAGGAGCGACAGTGCCTCCTAGGCAGCTGCAACAAAAGGGTTCCTGAAAGATACAGTTTGACAATTTGCAAGAAAGCCCTTCCACCAGAAGGGAACTATGGCAGCCTTTGCTGCCTGACCAGACCCTGTAGGGGCTTTGGCCGGCTTTAGCGGCGAGGAGTTTGGCTGGGGCGGTGCAGCATGTACCTACTGGTCCGCGACTCTGGCTCAAGTCAGCCATGAGTCTCCCGTATGAACTATGATGTACAACAGGGGGACCAGGTTCTCTTCCCATTTGAGATGAAGGCATTGTCGGTCGCTCGAGCACATGAGCGACACACATGATTGCCCAGTTTAATAGACCCTCGGTGGGTGGTCACTTGCAAAGGATCTTGGCCAAGGTGACTCATTATTTCCCCGGCATCATGCCGTTGCTATGTTTTAGTTTTCGTCCTTCTTGCCAGTCAGCCCAGGTAGACAGAAAAGAGGACACCGCTGTGGTGTGGTTCACACAACACTTGGACATGCCAGAGTGGGAAGATCAAAGCATTGTGAACAAGGACGAAGCGGACATTTGGACTGTTCTCAAAAACGGTGCTCGGCCAAGGCGGGACCAAAGTGTTTGGTCTTTACAACAAACATCCTAATTATGCACGTTCCTTGGCCCCAAGAGCGGAGATGCGAGAGAGAGAGAGAGAGAGAGAGAGAGAGAGAGAGAGAGAGAGAGAGAGAGAGAGAGAGAGAGAGGGGGGGGGGAAGCCATGATATAATTTATCGCTTCAGCACAAGAATTGATCATTGACTCGGTCGGATTCGAATGACAGGTGCTCCATGAGCTGTGAATTGGTGCGCAAAGTGCGCAGTCGCAAGGCGCTGAAGCCCAAGTCGCATGCGAGGCGGTGCAAAAGCAGCATCTTCAAAGGCAACATCTCACACAGAGGCTAGGCCTAAGAAGCCGCTCCAGATGCAAGCTTGGTTTGTTCCTCGCGCCTTGTACAGCCATGGGCGGCAGGGTTGGGCAGGCTATGTTCGTCGTACGAATGTGGAAGCAGATGCCGCCCAACCTGAATTGGATCAGCCCTTTTGCATGTACAGCCTGGCCGGGACAGACAGTCACCGGGCTTGCCAGCCAATGTCCCCTTGCGGGCTCTCAGAAAGTCGCCGAATTGGCGGAAAAGCTGTTCACTTGGTGCGGAAAGGAAAGGATTTGCAGGGCAGGTGGTTTTCTTAACATGGAACCTGACAGGAGGTCCATTGAAAAGGAAAATTGTCTTCCAGCCCCCCCCCCCCCGCCCGTGAGGTTCCATGTTAATTGGTGGGAGGGTGTCTTCGATGCAGCTGTTCCAGAGCAACCGAGTTGCTGGCCCTTGGCCCAGGTTGCTGGAGCAGGTTCCTGCCCCACAGCAGGTCGTGGGGGAGGTATGGTCCAAGGAGGCTTGGCAAGGCTGATGCCAGCTGGGCTGAAAAAACAACCCCGCGCCTTTTCGTTATGTAAGGGGCCGTCCCTTAACGTGTTTCGCAGGCCAAAACCATTGTAAACCGATACAGAGGGGAACAAAAAAAAAAAAAAAACGATACCCCCAGAAGCCATGAAGACACACATCAGGTCCTAGTTGTTGTCGCAAACCAAGATTGCGGAATCATAAATTTGCAGGGCCCAAACCGATACCCAAACCGATACCCAACCGATACCCAACTCATTGGCCGCCATGCCGAATCCAACCAGCTGCCCTCCAGCCTTCTCTGGAGCTGCCAACATGTACTTTGTGTACTAATTGCATTTGTACTGAAAAGTTGCGACTTCCGCTGTGGAGCTGCCAAAATGTACTTCGTATACTACACCATACTACACTTGCTTGCACTGAAAAGCTGCGACTTTCGAGCCGGAGCTGCCAAAGTGTACTGCGCATACTACTGAAAAGTTGCTACTTTCCAACTGAAAATGTACTTTGTGTACTACACTTGACTGAAGAGTTGCGACTTTCCAGCTGGAGCTGGGAGCTGGCAGAGTGTACTTCGCATACTACACATGGAAAAGTCGCGACTTTCGAGCCAGAGCTGCCAACACACTGCAAACCGATGCAGAGGAAAAAACCGATACTGACCGATACCGAGGCATAAGGATACAAGGGTTGTCCACGGTTTTTTTCAACCCAGCTTTGAGAATTTGAGACATGATTGCAGCATTGATTCATTTCTCGCAGCTGTGCTTGGTGAAAGGCTCGGGCTCGATTTGCCGACTCGGGCGAGTTCTCCAACTTTACCGAGGGCCGTGGACTTGGGTGCTACGGTGCTGCGTTGTCATTCACCAAAGCTGAGCTTGCACAAGCATCTGATCATCATCCCTTTGAGCCTTTCGGGTGACGACGGCTTGTTTAATGCCACATGGATACTCAACCCATGCAGACCATGCCCCTCCCCCTCCACGGTTCAAGGCTACCTCACTTGCCTCCAGATCAAATCCTTCCTCGACTCTGGGGCTGCGGGCCTGGCTTTTGAAGAGTCAGAGAGCCAAAGGGCTCAGCAATGGAAGCATGTGTTCTTGCGGGGGGCAAGTTCTAGAGGAATCAACAAGGACGCTTCCCGACCTGCCAGCCAGCAATACGCCTTGCCTAAGGTTCTGACTGTCTCCTGGCCGGAGGCATCGGCCACCGGATCGTAGTGCATGACAAGTGCACCCTTCATGTTGCACGCTTTCATGTGGCATTTCGTCAACCACTTGCCCACCACACCTGAATCCGCAAGAGAGGGAAGTATGAAGAAGGTCTGAGTTTCGCTTGGTGAATGCCTTTTGCCAAGAGATGCGTACAGGGCCAGGCTTTGGAGGCTTTGTTTGCCGTGAATTGAGAGCGGGCTTACTCTGAAGATATTGTGTCACCCGTCTTGCAACAGCATGCGCGGGTGCATGCACCGTGCAGGCTTTCAGGTCGGGCATTGACAACATCGATGACGAGAGGCCAGATGCGCCTCCAGGATGGTATTCTATCAAAGCTGGTCTGAACCTATCGCGTGCCATCACCAAAGAAATGTCAGACGCAGGTGAAAGGAGTGTTCCGAGTTCCAATTTCCCTGACGCAACATGAAACTTCAGTGCGACCCCGACAGCACGTTGCACGTTGCAGGTATTTGTTGAGCCTAGTCAGCGCGGTCAAAGAGCTCGAACGATTTGCCGTTGGACGAGCACGCGCCACTGCCTCAGGCAGTTGTCATCCCATAGCTTGAAGCCAAGGCTAACAAGAAACAAGAGAGACGACACGCAATGCCTGCATTGCTAACTGGATTGCCTTTGCTTTTGGAAAGCAATGGGCAGAAGCTCATTCCAGACATTGTGACCTGAAGAATGGCTTTGCCTGCTCTGTTTGCATGAGCTGCATATGCCATTAGTCTTGGGAGCAAGGTTTTGGACTTGCAGTCCATTCGCATTGCCTGGACGACATCGAACTCCCGGCATGTGTCACTCTGGCGACGGCTCTTTGTCAATTTGTGTTTGTTTCCACAGCCGGTTTAGCCCTTATGAAAAAAACAACGAAAGGGTGGCAGTGGTGAGTTTGCTGAGACAGGGAGATGCAGCCCCATCAGGTGAGCAGCCCAAGCTAGACGGCATGTGCTGCATAAAGCGAGTTTGACTGAGGCGAGGGCTTGAGTCGCTTGAGCCCACAGCCGGTTGCAGGCAGTGCGTCGAGCAGGCCATGCTCCAGCAACTGCCTCAGCTACTCCTCAGGGAGGGTGGGGAGATGGAAAGGTGGCCTTTACTGTTTTCCAATGAGCTCCGTGGGCTCCCAATGTACAACTGTGTCGGGAGTTCCGCCAGCTGGTGTTTGGGGTCTCATGTTGGGTGAGGAAATGTGATCAGGAGTTGAGGGGTTCCTCAAAGACAACGTTGCATAGGCATGTTTCTGCTTGTGCTAGCATGAGAACACATGTTGCACCGCAGCCTGCTTTGACTGATGTGCTGAGGAAGACTTGTATCAGATCACCATGTGCCACGGCAAGGGCTGAACGTATGAACCCCTGAGTATGAGCCGATGAGTGTGTTGGGCTCACAAGCGTCCGGAGTCCCATACTTAATCCAAAAGTCCATTTTTCCGGTGCTCGGTTCATTTGTGGGTCCATTCGTTCAGCCTCTGTTGCACACAGGGAATGTCATTCCAGGCATGCCGCAGGCCCTTTGGCTGAAAGTAATTCGCACCCAGAGATCGATTGCTGCGTAAACAAGCCGCCAGAGAAGAGGGCGAGAGCGCACTCAGCGCCCCTTTGCCGCAAGTGGATGCCGCTGGTGCCAGGACCACTTTGTTCGGAGTGCTAGCATCATTAGGGTTATGCGTGTGTGGTGACATGTGTTTCAAGTGCTGTGCCCAGCCAGCAGGCAAGCAAGACCGAGCAAGGTGCTTGAGTAGGATCACGGTAGCCGGAGTCGATGTCGCATGCAATCACACTATGTTGGCAAGAGTTCCATGTTGATGTCGCACATGCCGGATGTGTTCTGCTTGTTCGCCACATGCAAGGCCTGGGCATTGACAAGATTCATTGGGGAGATGGCGCATTTGGAAACAAATGTGGTGTGCGTGACCATTCCCTTTTGGGCAGCTTGGCTTGGCAGATTTGCTGGTGTACTTGCCGTGGCATTTGTTTGCTTGCCTTGGCAACCTCATGTCAAGGATAGCTTTGAGAAAGCTGCACAATTGATGCAACGATTTGGCGAAGCGCCTCGGTCAGTAAAAGTTTTACAGAGCAAAGTTCAGGAGCAAAGAGCAGCGCCGAGCTCGTTCCAGGTGGGTGGCATCAATGTGCTTGACAGTGAGGAGGGACTTTTAGAAGTTGCGACTGACCAGCAATTAGTAAGATAGTGAAACAAGAAGCAGCTGCGTCAGTTGAGTTTTTGGCGGTCGATTCGCCAAACCTTTGTTCCACGTTGCCCGCCGCTTTTTGAATCCCTGTTGGGGTCCTAAGGGTGCTGTTTCACGTCTGCCAACAGGGCCTCCCCGAGCCTCCCAAGGCATATTATGATGTTCGTTCCGCCGAGAGCGCGATGAGCGAACTCGGGGAGTCACGGTGTTGGAGGGCGCTACCTTGCGGGAACCGCAGCCCGGCAAGGCATAGCAAGGGCCTTGTGATGGGCGCAAATCGTTAAATCCCACCTTGTGACAGCCTCTCTGTAAGCTTGACTGGCTTAATTTGATGCTTGAACAAAGTGTGGGACTGGGCGCGCTGTGCGCTTATCAGCCAAGAAGGCCGCGTTATAGGCCTTCAGGTGCTCCCCAATGCCCTCATTCTGAGGGGTACTTGCTGGCCACTTCAAGGATTCAGGTGATTCCGCAAAAAGTCAAACCCAGCCGTGTGCGCGCAGACCAGGCTTGGACGTGTTCTAGATCAAAATAAGTTTCTATGTGCAGGAAGTCGAACCTGAAAAGTTGGGCCGACGCCGCCTTTCCTTTTCTCAGGCTGAAGCGCTTGTTGTCCACTTCTCATCAAGATAGTGGTTGGGGTAAGGCGCTGCCGGGCAGGGAGTGTTGCATCAGCCATACCCGGTGCTGAGGCATGGTGCGATTGCCAGGAGAGTGTTTGCGCACGCGCCTGCTGAGCAAATGAACTTGCATCGTTCTGGGCATTGATTTATGAGCGCTCATTCCTCAAGGGCTAAGCGCTGCACTATAGTTGTTTTCGGCAGGCGAAGGCTCATTCAAAAAATGTGAGGTGCGTCAGAATGAACTTGGTATCCTCACGTAGCGGCCCCCATCGGCCCCCTGTCATTCCTGCTTGGCATTTCCCGGTTGGTCAGGCCCAATGTATGACCTTTGCAGGAGCAGCAGGACTTGACACATCCGTAGTGGGTAAGATCGCCGATATGTATGTGGATGAATGCGACAGCAACTACTACGTCCTCATGCCCCGGGCACAGCAGGGTTCAATAAGTTTAATAGAGATGACTTCCTCCCAAGTGCTTGCCCTGGAAAGTTTCCAAAGTGATGAGCAGCTCAAGCTGGCATAATTCCCTGTAGAACCAAGAAGGCAAGACAGCCAAGCAAGCCACTTTTCCAGCAAAGGGGGACGCCCTAATTGCCTTGATAGGGAAAGTCGGCCAATCAACACATGCCCAATCGCTATTCTTCACGGGGCAGATATGGCACATGCTGAGGTTTTTTGATGTCCGGGATGCGGCACGGTACAGACAGGCGTCCTGTGTGCCGCTGATGGAGACAGCTGAGATCTCTGAGATTCTCAAGGGCAACGACTGGCTCGAGCCAGAGCCCGAGCCTATCAAAACGATTCATCCTCCTGGGCAGATTTTGCAGTCGAATCTTCCAAAACGGCATCCAGAGCGGCCTTTGGAGAGGCTGCTGGAGCGACTGCCACAGCGGCCGCCATCAAAAAGACTGGAACCTCTGCCAGAGCAGATTCCGGAACGGCCGGAACGGCCAGAGCGGCTTCCGGAACGGCTTCCGGAACGGCTGCCACAGCGGATTCCGGAGCTATTTCCGGAACGGCTTTCAGAACAGCTGCCAGAGCGGCTTCTGGAACAGCCGGAGAAGAAACTGCCAGAGAAGAAGCTTCCGGAGGAATCGTTTGCAACAGTCGCCACAGCTGCTTGGGCATGAAGATAAGCGCCAGACTGGTTTGCCTTTGAAAACTCATTGCTTGACGGAGGTGCCATCATGGCGTTTTTTTGGCGACGTGCACGCGTGGTTAGGCACTTTTGAGCAGCAAGTGTCATTAGGATGGCAGGCATCGTTTGCGTCGGTCAAGTTTGCCTTGGGACTGCGTAAGGAGCAGTTTGTGACGCCAAATTTTGCTGGCTCCTGGTGGCCATGGGCTGAAGACGGCATGATGACAAGCATTGCCGAAGAAGATGAGAACATCGAGAAGCTTGGCAGAGGACATGCTTTCCAGTGGGAAAGCAGCAAGTTTGCTTCAGGTTGCAAAACTCACTTGCCGCACTTGCCCACGGCCGACCTTTTGCCCTTTCCTTTTCCCAGTCATGGCCCAAAAGGGTTTACGTTTGATTTGTGGATCCGAACTGGGCAACTGAGAAAAAGCTTTGGCAAAAGAACTTGAGCCAAGGATGGACAGCTGCCTGATCCCTGGCAGCTACACTGTGCTAGTGGAAGGCCGTAGCTGAAAAGGTTCTTGATGTGCGAAGGGGAGCTGTTCCCAAGCAAGATTCTCTTTTATTTATTCATTTTTTGCGGGACTCGAGTTTTGGTGAGTTCAGCCTGGCGCAGATCTCTCAAGTTGCAGGCCAAACTTTCAGGGTACACACGTGTGCCAAATCCTTTCAAATTAAGGGTTGCTCAATGGTTTCCATTGGCAAGTGGTGAGATGTCCCAGTGTAGCCTGCGTGGCAGCGTCAGAGACGCCGGCCGCAGGTATTCCGCCGGAGTTGCTCAACAAGACATGCGTGCCTTGGCAGCGTGATAGGTGACTGCAGGGATGGCACTGAAAGGACCCCCCTTGGCTTGCAGGAATATCTTAGAGCATTTGCCTCTACTTTAAGATGTCCTTTTCCCCCGACCTCCACCCGTCAGGCTTTGCGGTTGGGAACAAGTTTGTTGTGACCGCCCCGCTTCTGCCGAGGCACCGAAATCCCTGAAAATGCCAAATATGGCCTCATTTTCCCAAAGATAAAAACGGAAGGATCTGAAATCAGTAGCTGTCCACCACAGGGAAACCATCATTGTCCACCCATCAGCCATGAATGGAGCTTGCATTGCAGGGCGACGGTGCAAAGGTCACGCTTTGGAACCAATGCACGTGACAACGGGCAACCACGTGACATGAGTTTGTCGTCGGATGCTTTAGAGTAGAATATGGCGGCGGTTTATTACAGTAGCGTGCGTTCAGACGTCCAATCCGTGTTGCAACTGGCCCTGATGCCTCTTCAATGTGTTATGTTGAGTTGGTTTAAGCAAACAAGGCACTTTCAAGCCCTTGACATGAAAGTATGCGAATGACACAAAATCCAGGGTGTAGCGGAGCATGCCAGAGCAAGTTGCAAGCTGGTGTCACCAATGGGTTTGTTCCAAGGTCATTGCCATTCTTGAGCAGGCGCGTATCAAGTGACAAGTGACGCGCGCGCTGTCCATGGTGTGCCTGGAACATTTGAGCCTGAACCCCTTTGTGAATTTGGATCTCCTTGTTTCTTGAGCAGTAGCAGCACTACGGCTGTGTTCCGTTTCAATCATGCTGAAGTTGCCATTGCTGAGCAGGCGGGCTTGGCGCACGATATCATGACCTTCTCCCTCCACAAAGGCAGGCAGAGTGGCAACTGAGCGCCAAATAGAAAGCATGCACTTGAGGTTGAATGGCCATTTGGGAAGCCATGTTTGTTTCCATCTCGGTTGCGGAGGTAACACTTGCACTGTTTCACACACCACGAAGCCGAATGTCAGGGATAAGAGCCTGATTGTGGCATGTTGAGCTTGGGCTCTGATGGCTATGTCAACATGGCTGTGCTACCAAATGCCAGTAAGGGATTGCCGACATTTGCTGACCGATCCCGTCGCCATAGGGAAGAGGCTCTAAGCCTTAACATGTCAGCCTTCAGATCTTGCAATTGCTCAGGTCGCTGCATCCTATTCATTAGCAGTGAGGAAGGAATGTACCGATGTTTGAACCACTTCGCAGGACCGGGCAACACGAAGGATTCATTTCCAGGGACTGGCAAGTTCAATTGTAGCCCAGAGTGCCAGCAGTTTGTGC